GATCCTTCCAGGGAGAGAAGGTCAGAAAAGGTCCAGTTTGCAGGATGACTTCCTGCCGAGAGGCAAAGACAAAAAACAAAGTTAAAACTCAGGGAGACAAGAACTCAGTCTTACTCAGAGAAAACTCAGTTTTCTTGAGGAACGGAGGAGCTGACTGCCACTTAGATTTCCTATGGTACTTGAACGGTTTCTTGTGGAGATGAACCCCTTGCTCAGTGTGAAGCCCAAACAATCCTTGGGAAAAAGTTGATCCAAACCACCTGTGTGAATCCTCATCTCAGTTTGACACTCAGACAATCCTTCCAGGGGGAGAAGGTCCAAAAAATCCAGTTTGCAGGATGACTTCCTGCCGAGAGGCAAAGACAAAAACACAACAAATTTAAGACTCAGGTAAAAAAAAACTAAATTTGACTCAGGAAGACTCAGTTTGGCTAGAGTACCAAAAACTGGCAAACACTCTTGCGTCGAGGTAGTGGCAATCAGCAGCTTAAGAGCACTCCGTTAATGAGGTAACCGTCAGCAGGTGTGTGAGGAGGCGGACCGGAACCAGGCGCCTCCTGTTGGTGGAAGGGAGACAAACACAAAACAAGCACACAGACAGGAGCCCTGACAGTTTCCGGTTCAATCGATCTGAGTCAAACAATAACGACTCACCCAGTCCCAACACCCACACAACAACCTACATCCCTCCATTAAGTGTTTTCTTGGCCAAGGTGCATGTAAGGGTTCAAGTGTACAGCGTGGGACCTGTTTTTGCGATCTTACTGCTAAAAATACATCCAGGCTTGGTCTGTTAATCTGTGATACCGAGCATTTGCCCGGTGGGCGGTCCTAATTTCAGCGTGGGAGGGCCGGCCCTCCTTAAATCATAGCGGTCCCAACACTTACTGCCCGGCCGAAGCTCCTACCTGTGACAGTAAGTAACTCAAGGAGCTAAAGTAGTAATCCAATGTTAACTACCTAAATGATGCATGCAGTATATATAACCCTTCCTTGTCATGCACATCCTTGTTTCTTCAAACTGTAAAATGCAACAAATTAAATAATAATAGAACTAAAATGCTTTCTTTAAACCAAACTAAGATGGTCCTCTTATATTTGGCGAATTTATGTTAGAATATTTTGCAAAAATATGTAGCAGTGCATGATGGGGTTTTGCATTTAAAGGCTAACGTTTTCCGTCTTAAACATTGTTGCAAGGTTGGGATGTTACCCAATCTGTGTCTACAATCTAGTCGTCACTCAGTAGCTCTTGAGTCCAGTACTCAAGAGCTTCCTTCCTGTAACTTTTAGATGCATCTTTTCTCTAACACACCTGAATTGAAAGGCTCAATCCTCTCATTTAGCCCAGCAGAGGCATGGTAACGAGCCACTCATTTGACTCAGATGTGTTAAAAATGGGGTTCATCCATCGCTATATGCAGGGTTGGTTGCCTTGTTATTTGCCAAATTCACCCAGACTGTGTTTACTTAGAGATAAAAGTGAGGTACCACTGTTAAACAGACATGCTTTTAGAGTGTTGAGCACTGCACTGGTCACATGTGCCCTACTTATTTTAAAGTTATGGAAGGACCCCCATACCCCAACAATTAGAATGTGGACCGAGAAAATGACTGAAAATGTTGCTTGTGAAAAAATGTTGGGAAGAATATATTCTAATAATGAAGCAGCCATGCAACAATGGGACAATTTTTGCACATACACTCACCGGCCACTTTATTAGGTGCTAGTAATGGGTTGGACCCCCTTTTGCCTTCAGAACTGCCTCAATTCTTCGTGGCATAGATTCAACAAGGTGCTGGAAGCATTCCTCAGGGAGTTTGGTCCATATTGACATGATGGCATCACACAGTTGCCGCAGATTTGTCGGCTGCACATCCATGATGCGAATCTCCCGTTCCACCACATCCCAAAGTTGCTCTTTTGGATTGAGATCTGGTGACTGTGGAGGCCATTTGAGTACAGTGAACTCATTGTCATGTTCAAGAAACCAGCCTGAGATGATTCCAGCTTTATGACATGGCACATTATCCTGCTGAAAGTAGCCATCAGAAGTTGGGTACATTGTGGTCATAAAGGGATGGACATGGTCAGCAACAATACTCAGGTAGGCTGTGGCGTTGCAACGATGCTCAATCGGTACCAAGGGGCCCAAAGAGTGCCAAGAAAATATTCCCCACACCATGACACCACCACCACCAGCCTGAACCGTTGATACAAGGCAGGATGGATCCATGCTTTCATGTTGTAGACGCCAAATTCTGACCCTACCATCCGAATGTCGCAGCAGAAATCGAGACTCATCAGACCAGGCAATGTTTTTCCAATCTTCTATTGTCCAATTTCCATGAGCTTGTGCAAATTGTAGCCTCAGTTTCCTGTTCTTAGCTGAAAGGAGTGGCACCCGGTGTGGTCTTCTGCTGCTGTAGCCCATCTGCCTCAAAGTTCCACGTACTGTGCATTCAGAGATGCTCTTCTGCCCACCTTGGTTGTAACGGGTGGTTATTTGAGTCACTGTTGCCCTTCTATCAGCTTGAACCAGTCTGGCCATTCTCCTCTGACCTCTGGCATCAACAAGGCATTTCCGCCCACAGAATTGCCGCTCACTGGATGTTTTTTCTTTTTCGGACCATTCTCTGTAAACCCTAGAGATGGTTATGCGTGAAAATCCCAGTAGATCATTATTTCCAGGTTCAAAGTCACTCAAATCAGCTTTCTTCCCCATACTGATGCTCGGTTTGAACTGCAGGAGATTGTCTTGACCATGTCTACATGCCTAAATGCACTGAGTTGCCGCCATGTGATTGGCTGCTTAGAAATTAAGTGTTAACGAGCAGTTGGACAGGTGTACCTAATAAAGTGGCCGTTGAGTGTATATGTCTACAAATCGATTTGGACTTTAAGGCAGCAAAACAAGGATTCGCACTAAACCTCACTGTTTTGTTCTTTGTTATTTTTATTGTAATGTTTTTTGTTTTGTTTATGTTTAAAAATTGAAAAATTCAATAAAAACTTGAATTACAAAAAAAAAAGGTGGTTCATTAAAAAGCTGCAGAAAAGTAGCTCTTAAGGACTGGACTTGAGCACCCCTGGTCTATACATATCAGAGGGGAACCGTAAGGGCCCTCTATGCCTTCATAGTAGGAGGAAAAATCTCTTACTACAATTTAATTAATCTATTAAATGTATTATTTAATGTAATAACTTAGTGATACATTCAATATATTTTATCTCATCTGCTTTATAAGGTTATGTCAACTTTCAGGGTGTTATCCAATTGAAATTGTCTATCTTTATGATCACTATGACCCGTCACGACTTCATGAATCTGTAATGGATGCAAGTGAATGTGTTTTGGTTTGGAAAGTAATGGGAAAATTGACCAATGGCGGTTAGATTTTTTTGTTGGAGGGACAAAAAAAAAAAAAACACCTGCTTGATCCTTCCTGAAGTCTGAACTACGTCATCGTCATTGTTGAGTAGGGCGCTAAGAGCAGAGATCGGAGTCTCTATGGTGGGGCGTGCAAGATGGCGACTCGGCACAACTTCTGCCATCAAGCTCCGCTAGACACGCAGCTTTTAAGCCATACTCTTGTTAAATTCACAATTAGGATAAATTATTCGGACTCTGAACATGTCAAAAACAGAAAACCAGAGGAAAGATTTTAGGTTTTCAAAAGTTAATAGGGACAATCTTGACTTGCTAAGCTGGCTTACCTGCTACTACTAAAGCTGGACACTGGGGATTTATCCCTCTCTTCTCTCTCTGCCCGATTCTCCAATGGTTTCTCCTGCCACCAAGAAAAGCAATCCCTCCAGCAACGAGGACAACACCAATGGCGTTTTTGGCTAAACTCTCCAGCATCATCAATGCCTGATGTTTTGTCGGATGATTATACCTCATCAGACTAGCATACCCATAGTCAATAGGCATGGATTCCATTTCTTTTTTAATATTCCCCCCCTGCAGTTTTTTCTACTAATTGAAATGTCTTTAAATCCACATTAACATGAATTCAACAGACTGTAGTAAACAGATAAATGGAGGCAGAAGATGTCTTTCAGTCATCAATGCAAACATTCAGCGACACACAGGAGCTCTTTCAAGCTGGGCACCGTTTCATTCACAACACCCGTCCCATCAACCAGGAATCAGATTCAGAAATACTTTAATAATCCCAGGGAGAAATTACTTTAGTTACATTACTCCATCTGTAATAGAGTACTATAGGACCAGTTTGATATAACACTATTTCATACTATATATATATAATTAGGGGGTCCCCGCTCCATCTAACCATCAGTTTGGGGGTCCTTCGCCTGGACAACATTGAAGACCCCTGTACTAGACTAAGACTTAGACAAACCTAATTGTCATTTTGTACACACAGGGTGTATACAATACGAAATTTTATTCATTGCAGCTCTAAAGACATATCCATTTTTTAAAGTGCAGCAGTGATAAAAAGTAATGTTACAAGGAAGTTATTTTGTTTATAACTAACCAAATCGACATGGATGGAGTTTTGTAAGATCACAGAGTATTTGTCAATGAATTTAATCTGAATTTTACTTTTGTAAATAATGGATAGATATTCATTTTAGTTAATCATTAAAAAAAGTTTGGGGCTGATGAGAATTTACATGTATGAATAAGAAATTTACCAAATATTATGATTAGATTAATTGCAAAGACAATGAGTACAGACAAAATATTTAAAAAAATATATACTTTATGATAAATTAAATTGGGTGATTTAAGGTTCTCTATATCTTTATATTTATAGTTTGTACTTATGTAAATAGTGGATAAATATACATTTTATTCAATCATTAAACAAAGGTTGAGGATGATGAAAATGTACATGTATGAATAAGAAATGTACCAAATATTATGATTTGATTAGATTAATAGCCAGTATTAATCTAACGTTTTCCGTACTCGGGTTATGTTTCAAACTCCAATCCTGTAGGGGGCGCTAACTGCTTCTGTAACTACGGCCAGAATAAACGCCAATATGGCGGCGTCCTGCTGCGGTTTGTTCTGTCAGTGAAGGCCAGGGTTACATGTAAATAATTTCATAATAAACCCAGCGGACGTGCTCAGAAGTTTTACCACGGCTTAAACATGTTTCCAGAAACGACACGGTGTTTAAAGGCGGCGGTTCATCGGTTATCCACAAAGGTTTTTCTGAAAACTTCACAGCCGTACACACATGGGGGAGCGAGCAGTCTCCAGATCCGGAGAAACCTGAGGGTCAGCGGCTGTTCCGCCGCTAAAGTAGCCCCTCCGAAGATACCCAGGGAGAAGGTGGAAATCCCCGGGCTTGAGACGGTTAGCTACGGGGATAGGATGCATTATGTTCCGGGCCTGGCTAAGCCCGTTTATCCTCCATGGGAGAGGAGCTACAAGGACCCGAGGTACTACAAGTCTCCGCCCGCTCAGGAGATGCCGCTGTATAAAGACAAGCCGTGCTATGTGTTCAACCAGCGGACCAGCATGCTGGAAGGTAGGATGGGGTTAAAAATGAACTGCTGATTTGCTTTATTTATTGTTTTCATTTCAGTTTCAGAACACATGTCTGTAAGGCAATCCCTCACACCAGAGGCGTAGCCAGAAAATGTAATAGGGGTGGCCAGACAATAACCAATGTCAGAATCATGAAATTATTATTTTTAATTATTAAATTAAATTAAATGTGATTATAGTGGCATTTAAAATGCTTTATTTAAAAAATACATACATTTCTTCAGATATATTATATCAGATAGAACTGGTTCCGCGTGTTTGCACGGAACTGCTTCTGGTTGATCATAAAGCTGTATGTTCGGAAAAAGAAGCTTGAGGCGGAGAAAAAATAAAAATTTCTCCGGGAAAATGCATATTTCAACAAAAGTGGCTGGAAAACGAAGAATTCGGGTAATGGCTGCAGCCTGTCACCGTTAAAGATAACGAACGATTTTGCTGTGTTTTATATATATATGTATATGTATATATATATATATATATATATATATATATATATATATATATAAATGACAATCATGGGTAGGGCTGGGTCAAAAAATCGATTTTGATTCGATCCCTTTACATTTTTGCAAAATCGATGTCTAGGGAATGAGATCGATTCATTTTATAGTGATGCGAGCGACGTTAACATTCAAATGTGCAGGAAAGATGCACTCAAAATCACTTAGAGCCAGACAGCTGCAAATATAGCAAATAGGTTGACTGAAGACATTAACAAATGGGGGCTGACCAGCAAACACCCGGTGGTTGTTACAGACAACGCTGCACATATGGTTTGTGCAGAGAAGATAATGCAGCTCATGCATGTCTGCTGTGTCACGTCTGCTTGCTCGAGTGACGCTTCATTTTTTCACTTTTCACAAACAAGTTTGCACTTATAAGACAGTTTTTTTCACATCTCAAGTTTAAACTTTCTGATTTATGAGAAAAAAATAAAATACATGAGTATTTTGAAACCCAGTTGAACCACTTTCATTATTATAAAAACAGATCGAATCGAAATTAATCGATTTAGAACTGTATGAATCAAAATCGAATCGATTCAGGACTTTGGTGAAAATACCCAGCCATAGTCATGGGTACCTGTTGAAGGCATTAAAATAATTTGTAAGAGCATTAAAAGAGCATTAAAAAGCATTAAATTAGAGTGACCTATTCCTGTATAAAACCTGTATGTACACTGAGGGGTGGCGGAAAGCGGATCAGCGTCAGAACCTCAGGGTCAATCTCCACTGTTCTAACAGCGGACAAAAGTTCTGGGGCGAACTTCTTTTACATTGTCATTACCAACCTACCTACTTTTATCAAAAATGTTTCTGCATAAAATTAATATTTACATGTACTAATATCTACATTAAATTGATTCTTAAGTTATTAAAGTAGTTATTTAGACTCCTAGATGACTTGCAGACACATAATTTTAATTTTAATTTAACTCAGTTCAGTTTATTTATATAGCATTTATTCACAACACATGTCATCTCAAGGCACTTTACAGTTCCCCATATCATAAAGTCAAATTGATTCAAAATTTTCTAAGGAAAACCAGTTGATTGAATCGACCCATTGACTCCAAGGCAATCCCTCCCACTGAGCATGCTTGTAGTGACAGTGGAGAGGAATAACAACCTTTTAACAGGAAGAAACCTCCAGCAGAACCAGGCTCAGTGTGAGCGGCCATCTGCTGAGACCGACTGGGGTTCAAGGAGACTGAAGCAGAGATACCAAGGGCAACTGTAAGCCAGCTCCATCCAGGAAACACACAGCCAGGCAGATGAGCTCCTCCGAGCCAGCTACCATGTCAGAGGATGAAGAGAGATCATCCAGCCACTCACGGCCAGAGAAACAGGACTACACTGGAAAACAGGCCAATCTCTAACATCTATAAACAAAGGTGTTGATGGCAGCAGCACAGCTGATGTTTCTCTCCAGGATGGAGTCACAGCCAAACAGGAACAGACCCGATGAAGCTACTATGAGAAAAAGCAGAGCGAGCAGAATGTTAGAGATTGAACTAACAGATTCTGCAGAGTGGGAGAATAGAGATAGAATGAAGCAGAATGATGAAAAAGGGGTCCCTATGTCCTCCAGCAGTCTAAGCCTATAGCAGCATAACTATAGAGATAGCTCAGGATAACCTGAGCCACTCTAACTAGAAGCTTTATCAATAAGGAAAGTTTTTAAATTTAAAATGTGTTTCAGGTGTGCGTCAGGCTCTCTGGTTGACCAAATCCAGTTTGATCCCCGGCCTGCCTTCTCACATCACCTCACCGGCTGCAGTGCCTGAAAACCAGCTGCTGAATCAGGATGAGCGCGCGCAGAACGCCATCAAACACGCCCGGTTCTGGGATACAACAGAACCACGGCCCAAAAAGGAGAAATACAGGTAGGGTCTTTTATTAAAGTGGGACACATTCTGATTATTTATGTGTAAATTTAAAGCAGCACTGAAGAGGACTGAAGAGGATTAGTTAGAATAAAAATGGATGTGGTGCGGAGTAACTGATAACATAAGAGTGGCTTTATTTCTATAGAAATATATAATTAAATAGAAGAAAACAAACCTCCCACTAAGAGAAATTGGTCAAGAAATGTTCAAAATAGTACCAAGTGGTAGAATTCTTTTTACCTTCATAAACGGACAGGGCTCCATCTGCTGGCAGTACAGTGGAACTGACAGAAAGCTAGACAATGTCAATGGGCTTCATGCTCAACTTCCCCACTTCCTGAACACCAGCCAGCTTCTGTGTTTCCCTTCTTATTACTGGACAATTTGATTACCGTAAATTCCGGACTATAATTCGCTACTTTTTCCCCGCTGTTTGAACACTGAGTTTGGGGTCACATTGAAATGTCCTTATTTTTGAAGGAAAAGCACCGTACTTTTTAATCAAGATAACTTTAAACTAGTCTTAACTTTAAAGAAATACACTCTATACATTCCTAATGTGGTAAATGACTATTCTAGCTGCAAATGTCTGGTTTTTGGTGCAATATATACATAGGTGTATAGAGGCCCATTTCCAGCAACTATCACTAAAACAAGAAAAAAATATAGTGTTTTAAGTGAATAATTGCTTATTTTGAGCAAAATAATCTGCCAGTGCAGCAAGCAAATGTGACTTGGTAAGATTTCTTAAAACAAGAACATAATAATATCCAAGTAGTAAGCATCCAAAAAAACTTAAATCAAGTAGAAAAATCAATTTCTTCTTTTACTTGTTAAGATTTTTTCTCTTATTTTAAGCAATTTATTCTCATTTATTAGTCATTATTGCTTAGAATTAAATAACCTCTAACCAACTCAAAACAAGCATACAGCAGGCTTAAAAACAAGGCAAATGTACTTGATACCAGTTCATTTAAAGGCTTAAAACTAGTCTGTTTTTTTTGGCTAGAATTAATTTCATTATTTAGGTGTAGTGAATGTATGGGAAAAATACACTTGACAAAAACTTCAAAACGTTTTTTTTATTAATATTTTAGCAGAAATGTCACAGAATTAAGCGAAATAGAAATAGATTTTCCTTTTTTGCAGTGTCCAGTGTTCTAATGGTACAATGTGTTTGCTCATTGGCTCAGAAGGCTAATTGATGATTAGAAAACCCTTGTGCAATCATGTTCACACATCTGACAACAGTTTAGCTCGTTACAGAAGCTACAAAACTGACCTTCCTTTGAGCAGATTGAGTTTCTGGAGCATCACATTTGTGGGGTCAATTAAACGCTCAAAATGGCCAGAAAAAGAGAACTTTCATCTGAAACTCGACAGTCTATTCTTGTTCTTTGAAATGAAGGCTATTCCATGTGAGAAATTGCTAAGAAATTGAAGATTTCCTACAACGGTGTGTACTACTCCCTTCAGAGGACAGCACAAACAGGCTCTGACCAGAGTAGAAAAAGAAGTAGGAGGCCGCGTTGCACAACTGAGCAAGAAGATAAGTACATTAGAGTCTCTAGTTTGAGAAACAGGCGACTCACAGGTCCCCAACTGGCATCTTCATTAAATAGTACCCGCAGTACTAGTTAAGACTAGTTTAAAGTTATCTTCATTGAAAAGTACAGTGCTTTTCCTTCAAAAATAAGGACATTTCAAAGTGACCCCAAACTTTTGAACAGTAGTGTACATACATACATACATAAAACAATCTGTCATTGTGTGCTTTTTTTGTAGCAACACTCTGCTTCACAATCTGCTCCATCTCTGCGCGACCCTGCAGCCCACTCACCCAGCCATTGGAAGGAGGATCCTGGCCGAGAACTATTCATTAGCAGCTACCTGGAAAAGAGGTAGATCCGCAGCCTTGGAGGTGGCGGGGGGGAGTTTGGACATGTCGAATCAGATTTGATATCTGTAGATGATCCGATCTTTAAAACTGTTATCTAAAATGGTGTTTAAATAAAGCGAACAGGGTTGAATGAAAACCTTTACGCTCTCTAACAGTCTTTTATTTTATTTTCAGGTGATGACCTGTTCCAGGTCAGAGGTCAGAACGGTTTGCTGCATTGCAGCATGGATCCTCTGCCACGGGTGTGCGGGGAAACAGAAGTGTTGGAGACGTCGGATCAGATCCTGGAAAGCTTCTATCCCGTCTCCCCCACCATCGACCTGCAGCAAGTGAACGTTTACAACGAGGAAATCAACTGCTCAGGTGGGTTATCTCCATTTTCCATGTGTAGTATGGAGTGAATTCTGATCCATAAATGTTATAAACAAAAAATACGGTTTTAAATTGGAAATATTTTTTCTAAAAAAAAAAAAAAGAAAAAATCAAATACACGTTTGTTATGTATGGAGCTGTACTAAGCCTGTCTTCCAGTTCCAGGTTTTCCAGCCTGCCCTGAACCCTCATTGAGCTGTAGTCTTTAAAGGTCTGCCTTGGCTCCACCCTCTCTCTCTCTCTCTCTCCAGCCTGGCAGCCAGAACAGCAGCAGCTGCTGCTCACTACCACTTCCTTGTCTTTTTTTTGTATGTTTTAACCCCTAGCTTTATAATAAATCCTACGTTTGATATACTAAATGTTTTGTTGTCATCCACTATGTTGCACCCACCAAACCGGGGCGTAACATATTGGGGGCTTGTCCGGGATTTAAACCAGGGACCTCTTGCACCCACCAAGCCGGGGTGTAACAACGTTTCATTCATGTTTTTATTTTTTTATTTTTATACAGATTTAATATTTCATTTTTTTTTTTAAATATTTGTTTAAAAGAAAGACCCCAGTTCTCTGTACACGAGTTTAGTTTCGTTGTAGTCGTATCTTCTGACCTTGGGTTATGTCTCTGCTGGGAACGTCTGGTGACGCTCAGGGACGTGTTCAACTCCAAGTTCTAGGAGAACTTCTTCTAGTATCCAAAGCAGACTGGAGACCAATGAGGCTGGATACATGGAGTCTGAGTGGGCCATGTTCTCTGGCTCTATTGCCGATCCAGCCGCCCGTAGCTGTGGCTGTAAATTCTGCGGTGCCTGTTGTGGCATTATACCCAGAACTCATTGGTGAACGCCGGGAGTAACGGTTGCTGTTAGGCCGAAGGAGTCCCATCGAGCACTGGAAAAAATCAAAATCTAGATAAGCCATTTTTTCTTAAAAGAAGGGAATTGTTAGGAGGTAAAAGAGACATTTATCCAATGCAACGAGACAATTCACACTTAAAATAAGAAAACACAGCTGCATTGTCGTATTTCAAGTGCATTGTATCTAATTATCTAATTTTAGGAGTAAAATACTTCTTCCATTGACAAACTATCTCATTTACCTACTCAAATTAAGGGTAAATACATTTAATTTAAATTTTTACTTATTTCTAGATTCCAGGTTGGTTTGTTTGGACTTGTGAGGCAACAAGCAGGTATTGTGAGGCCAAGCGTGCTGCTAATTGGGTGGTTGTAGAGCCAAAAACCCAGGCCTGGGAAGAGGTTTGAGAGGCCATGAAGAAAGGCAGTTGGTTGGCCTCAATGTGATTCTGGTAAACCGTCCGCCGCTCCAGAGGGAAAAAGCTGTGCTTTGCTAACACTGTTTTTAGTGGAAGAGGGAAGCTGCTGACCCAGAAAGAGGATATCGTTGGACAGTGGAAGGAATGCTTTGAGGATCTCCTCGATCCAGCTGACACACCTCTTCAGGTAGAGGACAGTCCATAACCTGTATGGACAGGATTTCTAGGCGTAGCCAAGGGCTGGAGGGGTCTGGATCTGGGATCAGCGGATCTCAACCCTTCTTTTTGCAGACGACATGGTTTAGCTGGATCCCTCCTGCCAAGACCTGCACTATGCATTGGGGGGGTTCACATTAGAATGTGAAGAGGCCAGGATGGGAATCAGCTGGTCCAAGGCCATGGTTGTTGACTGCAAAAATGTGTGCTGTCGCCTTCGGGTTGGCGGAGAATTTCTGCCTCGTGGAGAAATTTAAGCATCTTATTGGGATGCCCCTTTATTACCTCCCTTCTGAGGTGTTCCTGGGACCTCCCACCTGGAGGATGCCCAGTGGATGACCCAGGATATGCTGGAGGGACTATGTCTCTCTGTTGGCTTGGGAGATCCTCAGCCTTCTCCCAGCAGAGCCAGAGGAGGCGTCTGCAGAGAGGAAGTCTGAGTCTCCACTGAGACTGATGCCCTACGACCTGTTCCCGGATGAAGCAGTAGACTACAAATTAAGATTCAGTTTCGCAGCTAGCATTTACGGATTAATAGAGATGGATCCAAGATGGCGCTGCGCAGGCAGCAGCCGGTCACATCGGCTCCTACTTTTCCTTCTTTCTATTTTTTATAGTGTTATTTGGTCTTAATGCACCTTTTCCTCTTTGTTTGCACCTTCTTTAATTACTATGCCAATATATGAGCAGTGAATTTCTCCGCTCTGATATCAATAAAGCTCATCTAATCTAATCTGATCTAAGATGCGTCTTTGCTCCTCGCTCCAGAGAAAAGGCTGCCCCAGAAGTGAAAATTGTGATCTGAAAAATGCAATTTTAAGAAGAATGTAATACGTAAAACTCAATTTGAACATTTATGAAAACTAAATCCATAAAACAATTGCTAAAAGCAATAAAACATCAATCTTTAATTGTTTGTGTTTTGAAAAACTAAATCTGATAAATCTGCAAAATGTACAAAATGTGTTCTTTGTTTACAAAATAATGGAGCAAATTTCACTTCCTAACGATTCAGCTCTGCTGCTTTGGTTTAGTACGGTCTAATTTTAATAGTCTCTCTCCCCCCCAGGTTTTAGGGAGGGTTATCCCTACCCTCATGCCCACACACTTTACTTCCTGGAGACGCCTGATTCTAACTCTAAGCTCCGCCCAGAACAGTTCAGAGCCAAGATGATCATGTTCACCTTTGGAAATGCTTTGGCTCGAGCGCACAAGCTGTACGGGGTAAGAACATGCAGAAAAAGGCTCATTTATCACCAGTAAAACATCTGTGTTTACATTAACCTTAACATTCTGTCTCTTTTACACGATGCTCGTCAGACTCAGAGTGTCTTGGAACATCCCATAACGGTACAGGCAGTGGGGACCAACGGCCGAATCTTTCAGTTTCTGGTATTCCAGCTCAACACCACAGATCTCTCTGAAGATGACGGCATCAAAAATCAGGTCCGCTGAATTTTCCTCTGGGCTTCGTTAAAGCGTGGGAATGAGAAAATGATCGTTTGTCGCTGAAAGATGGAATTAGGGGTGTAAATCACATCCATCGTGGCGATTCGATTCAGTATCGATTTCCTGAACCGATCGATTTGATTTGATTAATTGGTTCTTTTCTTTTATATTTTATTTTATTTTTTTTTACCTTACAGGCTAGACAATGTTTCAAATTTGAAAGCTGTAACATTGTTTTGTGTTTTTTTTTTTAGAAACAACAGCAAATGACAGAAGTAGAAAAGTTGCACAATAATACCCCTGCGTTATAGATTCTGAAAGGCTTTGCATCAAAAAATACTGCAGAAAATCAGTGCAATGAGTGCAATGCAATACCTCAGCTCCAGACGTCCCGCCCCCTCCACAGACGCTCTGCAGACAGGAGTCGGCCTGCTCATCAAACAATGTTTCAGTCGTAAAGGGTCAAATTAAATGGCTGTTTTAAAGTTATTTTTCTGTAAAAACTTAAAAAAATGTTATCTTTTTTTTCATACCCTGAATGCTGTAAAAAAATAAATAAAAGTGATGTTTGATTTTATGAAAGGTTACAGGAAATGCATCTGATTCCTGAAACTCAGGTAAATATTTCTGCTTTGTGCTTTTTTCCACTGCAGGTTTGGTTGGAGGAAGATGTTGAGCTGTATGATTTTGCGAAGGTGCGACCCCTCATTAAAAGGAAAGAAGTAAAGGTACGGATACCTTTGTAAAAGAAAATTAAAAAAATGTAGATTATCTTCAGCTGCCTGGTCGCACTAGTCTCTGTTCTCAGCATCTGTTGAAGAAAGCAGCCGATTTGTTTGGCTTTGGCTTTGAGGAACCTTTTTCTGTTTGCATCGTACCTTTAGGAGAGTGGGGAACACTTCCTAATGCTAACCAGTGTTGGGAGTAACGCGTTACAAAAGTAATGCATTACAGTAATGTATTACTTCTTGATGTAACGCCGTAGTGTAAGGCATTACCTATAAATTTTCTGCAATATTTTACTCGGTACATGTTCAGCAAAGCTTGCGTTACAACACTTATTTATAAAAAAAAAAAAAAAAAGTAAAACTGCGAGACATTTATGAAGGAGGATTAGAGCGGGTTTTACAGGAGTGGCGTGTCGCACGACACGTGATTTCTGCGTAGTTCTCGCGCTTCCCAGTGGAAAAGCTAACGAAGATGGCAGAAGACGACTGTACATTCGTGAGATGGACGTATGCGCATTACTTCGAGTTTGAAGAACGTAATAGTCAAATGCAACCTTTGTGTAAAACCGAAAGAACTGTCGGTCCTCCAAGTGCACTTTATAGTTGCTGTAAAAGGATAAGATTTGTTCATCATGCGCACTTTGTTCATGACAGTTTTGTGTTGTAAACCTCTTGAATAAAAACAAAAACAAAGAACAAATCTTGTCATGACATTACCGAGTTTACATACAGTTCTGTTGTGTCTAATATTAAAGGAATAGTACACCCAAAACATGATTAGCCTTCATTTTCTACTCACCCCCATGCTGAACAACACTCTGGAGTACTTTTTTGATATCTCAAATGCATCTGGAGATCTGGGAGGCTTCTTGCTGTCTGCTGACATTCAAATAATGGAGGTCTATGGCGCCCGAGGCAGAAAGGTCCATAAAAGTCCACAAAAAACGTGTCAATATTCCTCCATACTGCTCGTCCAATGTATTTCAAGTGTCCTGAGTGGGTAGCATCCATAATTTACTCGAAACGAAGTCATTTAGAATGTTTTTAGAGCATAAACAGTAGTGTATAGGATTTCCTGAAAGCGCGTTCACGAGTCTACGGAAACCGCGGCAGACCAAACCAGATAAAAGTGCGCATTCAGCTCAGCAAAGAACTCATGCTCTTCCTCAACACTGAAGTCCTCAGACATTTTTCTTTCGTTGTTTCTTTCTTTGCACAGGTAAACAGCACATTTCTTCTTCTACGCTTGAATTATCGGCAGAGCAGACGCTGAATGCGCACTTTCATCTGGTTTGGTCTACCGCGGTTTCCGTAGACTCGTGAACGTGCTTTTAGGAAATCCTATACACTACTGTTTATGCTCTAAAAACATTCTAAATGACTTCGTTTCGAGTAAATTCTGGATGCTACCCACTCAGGACACTTGGAATACATTGGACGAGCAGTATGGAGGAATATTGACACGTTTTTTGTGGACTTTTATGGACCTTTCTGCCTCGGGCGCCATAGACCTCCATTATTTGAATGTCAGCAGACAGCAAGAAGCCTCCCAGATCTCCAGATGCATTTGAGATATCAAAAAAGTACTCCAGAGTGTTGTTCAGCATGGGGGTGAGTAGAAAATGAAGGCTAATCATGTTTTGGGTGTACTATTCCTTTAATATACCCAAGCTATTCATGGATATTACCAGATAATCACTTTACCTCTACCATAATTTTAACAAACTTAGATAATTTGTGATTTTATCTCTCATCCTTTCTTTGTCTTGAAACTTCAATTTGCCAATTATATGTTGTATTGTTAGTAGCCTGGATAGCCCACAGTCATTTTGGAACATCATATTGCCTTCTACTGGATGTAAAATGCTCTGTTAACATTAACTATGTTACTTACGGTACATGTAATTTATTTTTACATTTTGTCATTTTAGAAATGGAAAGGTCTACCTTGTAGTTATTTTGGTGAAAGTAACTCAAAAGTAATACAGGAGTAACGTAACGCATTACAATTCTGAGACAGTAATATTGTAATGTAAATAATTATTTCTAAATAACAGTAACAAGTAATCTATAATGTATTACAGTTTGGAAGTAACTTGCACATCACTGATGCTAACACATGGTTGTTTGTTCCCTTTCAGGTCCCAGCTGGTCTGGCAGGTTATAAACCTGAAACATTCAACAAATTCCTGGCCCTGTACCTGCATGGAGCTGTTTAGTACCGCTGCTGACCCACTTCATTTGAATATATTTGCTTATGGACACGTTATTAGCAGCAAGTCGCTGCTCATATTGGATGGAAGTTTGGGTCCAAAGTTATTCTGTTAGCGGCGGAGTGGTCAATTTAATGAACTTACATAAACTTCCCATTTTCTGCCTCCATCCATGCATTCAATAAATAATATTTGATGAAATATCGGTTCTTGTGCTGCTTAGAGGATGAAAGCAAACATCTCATTTCCAAACTCTTTAAAACTTCTCCTTTATAGTCATTATTTTGATAATCAAAGGAAACGGATTCAGATTCTGGCTTTAGTCAGATGAAAATATATTTATTTAAATAGGGACAATGCACATTAATGAACATCAGTATATAAAAAAATGTAAATATGCCGGATTATAGCTACAAAGCTAATTTTCATCTGTAGTCCCTAGGCAGGAAAATACATAAGAAAGAACATATAATATACGATATAAGCATCACAAGGAAATGTTAAGTACGGAAGAGGATTAGGGCCACTGGAAAAAAAAAAAAAGTTAACTGATTTTTACTTTTTTTTTCAGTTTAGTATGGGGAAAAAAGTCAGAATTCTGACTTTTTCCCCATATTAAATTGAAATAAAATTAAAAAATCCGTTAACTTTTTTTTTTTTTTCAGTGGCCCTAATCCTCTTCCGTAGTTAAGAGTTTAGTGGTCACATGACTGGTTTGTTTTCATCCGTAGTTTGAGTTGAGCTCTAAAGCTGATCAGTGTAGGGCTATACATATACATACAATATACATAAGATAATGCGGTAAAAATACAGAATTAAAACTTTATTTTTTTATTTACTTCGTTTATTAAAAGTAGCATCACAAATCAAAAGGATGTGTGAAAAATACCAGGTAAACATTTTCTTTTGAACCTATTACAAATGTAATAAAATACAAAAGATAAAACTTAGAAAATAAGTTGATAAAAATAAATACATGAATGAAAAAACAACTTACAAATTAATCATAAAATAAAAGAGGCTCAGTCGTCAGGCTGAGATATCATGGATCCACCTTAAAATAAGGTGGATCCATTAAAGGAACAAACACTTAAAACTTTTCCTTTCATTCGAAATCAACACATCTTTATATAAATTACACAAACTCTGACTCAACTGCGTTGATCAGCTTCTCCACACAAACGAGATATTTAATTGTGGGTTTTTTCCATCATTGCAATATCAGTAAAACATGACGTAGTGTTTTTAACCCTATATCTGTGTCCTGTGTATTATACAGGTGCTGGTCATAAAATTAGAATATCATGAAAAAGTAGATTGATTTCAGTAATTCCATTTAAAAAGTGAAACTTGTATATTATATTCATACATTACATACAAACTCATATATTTCAGATGTTTATTTTGTTTAATTTTGATGATTACAAATTACAACAAATGAAAATCTCAAATTCATCATATCAGAAAATTAGAATATTACTGAAGACCAATAAAAACAAAGGATTTATAGAAATGTTGGCCAACTGAAAAGTATGAACATGAAAAGTATGAGCATGTACAGCACTCAGTATTTAGTTGGGCCTCCTTTGGCCTGTATTACTGCAGCAATGCGGCGTGGCATGGAGTCGATCAGTCTGTGGCACTGCTCAGGTGTTATGATAGCCCAGGTTGCTCTAATAGTGGCTTTTAGCTCTTCTGAATTGTTGGGTCTGGTGTATTGCATCTTCTTCTTCACAATACCCCATAGATTTTCTATGGGGTTAAGGTCAGGAGAGTTTGCTGGCCAATTAAGAACAGGGATACCATGGTCCTTCAACCAGGTACTGGTAGCTTTGGCACTGTGTGCAGGTGCCAAGTCCTGTTGGAAAATGAAATCTGCATCTCCAAAAAGTTGGTCAGCTGCAGGAAGCATGAAGTGCTCTAAAACTTCCTGGTATGTGGCTGCGTTGACCCTGGACCTCAGAAAACACAATGGACCAACACCAGCAGATGACATGGCACCCCAAACCATCACTGACTGTGGAAACTTTACACTGGACTTCAAGCAACGTGGATGAAGTGCCTCTCTTCTTTTCCTCCAGACTCTGGGACCTTGATTTCCAAAGGAAATGCAAAATTTACTTTCATCAGAGAACATGACTTTGGACCACTCACCAGCAGTCCAGTCCTGTTTCTCTTTAGCCCAGGCAAGACGCTTCTGACGCTGTCTGTGGTTCAAGAGTGGCTTGACACAAGGAATGAGACAGCAGAAACCCATGTCTTTCATACGTCTGTGTGTGGTGGTTCTTGAAGCACTCACTCCAGCTGCAGTCCACTCTTTGTGAATCTCCCCCACATTTTTGAATGGGTTTTGTTTCACAATCCTCTCCAGGGTGCGGTTATCTCTCTTGCTTGTACACTTTTTTCGACCACATCTTTTCCTTCCCTTCGCCTCTCTATTAATGTGCTTGGACACTGAGCTCTGTGAACAGCCAGCCTCTTTAGCGATGACCTTTTGTGTCTTGCCCTCCTTGTGCAAGGTGTCGATGGTCGTCTTTTGGACAACTGTCAAGTCAGCAGTCTTCCCCATGATTGTGTAGCCTATAGAACTAGACTGAAAGACCATTTAAAGGCTTTTGCAGGTGGTTTGAGTTAATTAGCTGATTAGAGTGTGGCACCAGGGGCCATCAATTTTGAACCTTTTCACAATATTCTAATTTTCTGATATGATGAATTTGAGATTTTCATTTGTTGTCATTTGTAATCATCAAAATTAAACAAAATAAACATCTGAAATATATGAGTTTGTATGTAATGTATGAATATAATATACAAGTTTCACTTTTTAAATGGAATTACTGAAATCAATCTACTTTTTCATGATATTCTAATTTTATGACCAGCACCTGTACATATCAGCAGAGTCGCTGTTTGTGCTCCTCAGTGAGAGTACCTGGGAATAGAAACTGCTCCTGTTTTAGCAGAAAAAGGCTGCGTAGCAGCGCCATGAGCTTAAGAATCTAACAGTTTATGTCCAGGATGTGTGAGATCAGCAGAGATGCCAGTTTCACAGCCCAGCACAAAAACAGGAGCAATGTTGTTCCTGTTCATAGTTAAAAAGAATGAGCTCAAAGTTCAGTTCACACAGATGAAAATGAACTAGTTCACGGTCATAGTTCACTATTTAAAAAAGTTCACAAGCCTATAAATGAACTAGAACAGGTTTATTTGGTAAATGAAGCCACAATCCTCCACTATAGCACATCGTATTTCCTCCTTTAAATGTGTGATCATAATGCGGTAGTAGCCATTTAAAACTTGATGGATCCATAACTGGTCCCCTAAGATTCCTTTTTTAAACATCAATCTTTCTACTAAAATATTATTTGTGGACATTAAGATCTAAAGAGAAGCATCATCTCCTGGTCAGACCCTGTAATTCAGTGAAAGGTGGAGTCAGAGTAAAATAATATGCACGTCCAGGAGAAGGAGGAGGTGACTACCTCCATTTTGAATGGCTGTTACTGTATATAGAAAGAAATGGAAAATACTGGATGCAGTCAAGGTCTACTGGATGTACAGCGATAACCTGACTCCGCCAGATGGATTTGCTCCGCATATCCATCTGGAAACCTTCCGTTGAAGTAATTTTGGGAAGGGGCGAAAATACTGGTTAGCTGATTGGCCTATGTTGGTGATAGACGGGCCAAATAAACCAATCACATCAACGAAGCATATGACGTACTAACAGAGCGACGACGAAAACACAACCACAAGCCAGGCTACTCTTGCCGAAACCATTCGGGAGAAAAGCAAAAACATCTTTTCCTCTGAGAAAAGCCTCCAGAGCAGTGTTTTGCTCTTCTTTCAGTGAAGAAATACTCTGTAATTCCGATAAAACTTGCTCGATAGCCACGCTAACGCTAGTTTCATCGGCTGAAGCCGCCATGTTCTTTAGACTGAACTGTCGCGCTTCTCGTTGCGTCACACCTCAACCCGCCTCAAAGCCAACGCTGATTGGACGTTCGTTTGGTGAACTGCTCCAAATTTTCTTTAACGGAGAGTCTCCAGACTGATCTGCGAGTGAAACCTTGAAAGCTCGCGAGATCAGGATGGTCCCACGAGGCTACCTCTACAGGCCTTCATGCACAGAAATTTTATCAAGCTGATTATAATGCCTGTAGCTGAGCACACAGCCTATATACAGACTTAGGATAATGGGAGATAGGGCATCTAGTGCTGCTGCCCAACATCTGAGGAATGTCCTCCCTGACACCTTAAGGGCACATCAATCCACTGAGTGTTTTAAAAAAAGGCCTTAAAACATTTCTTTTTAGCAAAGCTCTTGGTCCCCTTCTATGGAAGAGGATTATTTCAATTTAGTATTGGAAAAAAGTCAGAATTCTGACTTTAATCTCAGAACTCTGACAGCTAACACACTTGTTAGCATCAAGCCATAGCCATGTCTGTTTTAGAGACTAGCTCTCTTGTTTTAATGACCTTCTGCTCCTCCATTAATGAGGGGACCCCTCGGACACGTAAAAAGTTGCCTAATTCCGTCATTTTCCACCAATGTGTAACTGGCCACCTCAAACAACTCACATCTTTGTCAGTGGAGCTGAGTGCTCCACATCTCTTCCTTCATGGTGCCCATCTACATTAAAATCCAAAATTCTGAGATTAAAGTCAGAATTCTGAGAAAAAAGTCAGAATTCTTACCTTTTTCCAATACTAAATTGAAATAAAATTTTAAAATTATTAAACTTTTTTTTTTTCAGTGGCCCTATTCCTCTTCCGTACCCTTTAGATGTTTTTTCATGCATTTTTTCCCCTCTTTTTACCTGTAGCACTTGGAGATGTTTTGATGGAGAGTGCAGTATAAACTAAATGTTTTATTATTATTATTATTATTATTATTATTATTATTATTATTATTATTATTATATTGACATATAAGTGAGAGTGAGTCAGAAAAATACTAAAATATTACAGATGGTGCCAGAATGTACCAATATGGCTGATTCAGAAGACTGTTTTTTTTTTTTTTTTTTATTAAATCTCCTTAAAAATCCTTCCACAAAAAAAGAAAATTAAAAACAATCCACTGGACTTTGTTTCCAAATTTGAAGACGTTTCGCTTCCCATCCAAAAAGCTTTTTCAATTCAAAAAGGTGAATGGAAAGTGAAAAAAACCTTTAAACCTGGAAACTAAGTCCAGTGGAAGGATTTAAATTTTCTTTTTTTGGAATGAGTATGACCTGGACGACTCAAAAATATTTATACTTCACTGATTTTGCATTCAATCTGGTGCAGCAACTGGTCAGGTTCTAAATTATATTTTCAATTTGGTTGCAACTGCATACTTTCAAAGAACTTTATCACAATTTTATTTTTTTTTTTTTTACATTTTCCGCTGTGTTTCATATCCAACAATATCAGGTTTTAGATGCCTGTATTATTCCCCTGGAGTCTTGCTTGGATTTTTGCACCAGAACTATTCCACTAAAGCTCGTACTTCCTTATTGAATTCATCTTGTACAGCTCATCTAACATCAAACATATTTTCAAATTATTATTATTTTTTTTACTAAAATTGTTTTATTTATAATTAGAGTTTTTTTTAATGTTCAATTGTTTATTTTTCCTCATTTCCGTTTTCAGATTGACTATAATTAATTGTCTTCTTTATAAATTGCGTTCTCTAGATCACATTTTTATCATTTCTGGGGGCGGGCTTACCTCAGGACTTAAGAGTCAAGATGTATTTTTATTGGTCTATATGGATTCTGACAGCAATCTAGTATTGGTTACTTTATGTATCAAGGGTTTTAGAATTTATTCTTAAAAAAAAAAACAATTTGTGAAGCTGATCTAAAAAAAATTGAATTTAAAGGTAAAATTTGAAGGATAAATAAATAAAAGCTGAGAAAAGAGCAAAGTTAACCTCTAAACCTGTTTTTTTTTTTCTTTTTATTAAAACATGTATCAAAGTTTCATTGTAATTTAGTGATTTTTGGCTTGCAAAAAAAATGTAACAATATTAACTCCTTTTTCTAAAAATAAGATTAATATGAGCTTTTCTGAATTTGCGTATTTAGATAAAGTGAAATAGTTATAAATGAACATTGTCAGATCTTCTTTTAGGTTGCGGTACATGGTGTTATTTTTGAGTTTTTTTGTATGCAGATGGTGAGTTTTTCTAAATTAAGAAGTTTACAAATACAGGAGAACGGATTATTTTTTCCTCTGCTTTTTTTTTTTTTTTCTCCTTTTCATGGTTATTGGAGTTGGAGGAGGTTCTTATAACGAACAGTCTTCTGATGAGCGGTTTTATACCAGCACCGCTGACCGTTTCCAAGTGTCATCTGGATCCAGAGGAGAGGCACACATATTTGCATTTTTCTAAGCCAAAACAAGGCTTTGTGTTTGGTCCACCCTGTTAAGCTTTAAACTATTTCTGACATTTTGAATTGAAAAAGCTTCCTGGATGGGAAGCGAAACGTCTTCAAAATTGGAAACAAAGTCCAGTGTATTTTTTGTTTTGTTTTTTTTTTTAGCTTTTTTGGAATACAAATCTTACACTTGTTCTTATATTTATACTTTTCAGGATAAGTACACTCCACTGTGCTGTTCTTAAATGTATAAAATACAGTTTATAGAAAATTAAACTAAATATGAGATAACTATGTATACTGGTATCGTGGGATTTTGCAGAAACTAACAGAGGGTAATTCTGCTTAGGGCCTCAATACAGTATTGCTCTCTGCCACTTTAAACTGCAAAGGCTGATTTGTTTGTTGTATAATCTTTTGGCTTCTCTAAGGTTTAGATCACCTTGCTTAATAACCAATAAGGGAAGCTGTGTTGTGCAAGATGTGAAACGGCCTGCAGTGAGTGTTTTTCCTGTTGAAGCTCGGTCACTGACAGCAGCAGGGCCCCCACAGGGGCCTCTCTGGGGAAAGGTTAAAGGAATAAAGTCTAGAGAAGAGCTGCATTCACATCCAAACAGGGAGATTTTCTTTCTTTAAGTAGATTTTTTTTCTCTACATTTGCATGAAACTAATTAAGATTTGCACATTATACTGAAATCAGGTGTTAATCATTTATTTATTTTCACTGATAAAATGATTCAGGTCTCATAAAGCTGTGGGGACCAATAGTGGAATAAACCCATGAGTCATTCTTCAGTATGAACAGGTAAAGGGGCTTTTATTTTGAAAGGACTCACAGGAAACCACGTAGGGTGATTTTGATTGTTGTTTTTATGATCACTTCAGCCGCTGTCAGGTAAGTAAATCCAAACATTTTGAAACTTTGTGATTAAGATCTGCAATGAAGCAGTCGGTCTGTTTGGAGCTTTTTAAACTGAGCAGTGAGGAAGCAGGCAGGAGGGTTCAGATCTTCTTTCATTTCTGCTCATCTACAGCTTTGGGTTTTTCTTTTTTCCGTGTCTCTGTTCTGCAGAAAGTCTGTGGAGGTTCTGTTTAGAAGCTCCGTCTAGTCAGCTGGAAGCTGGACGGAAATATGTTCCCTACAAACTGTTGAAGTTTTTTATCAGGGAAGCCAGAGGAGGGGAAATCTATGGAGTGAATTCTGTTCCATTATTAGTGAAAGCAAAGAACACGTAAATGTTAATTTTTTAACCGTGTCCTGTCTGGCAATGAGGCAATAAGAATAATTGAGTTGATACCAAAAAAAAAAAAAAAAAAAACCCCAACAGATTTTACTTTCACAAGTGCAGCAGTAGGGCTATTGTCATAGTGTTCTGCTTGATTTATGCATAAAAGTTGCTTTATTATAATTATGCAGGGAATATATCACTGGAAAAACAATCTAGAAATAAGTAAAAATTTCATATATTCAGTGTATTTACCCGTATTTTGAGTAGATAAATGAGATTATTTGCCAATGGAAAGAGTATTTTTACTCTTAAAATAAGATAATTAGATAAAATGCACTTAAAATAAGACAGTTCAACTGCATTTTCTTATTTTAAATATAAATTATCCTGTTCCATTGGCAAAATGTCTCTTTTACCTTCTCAATTCAAGATCAAATGCACTTGTTTTAAAGAAAAATGACTTATCCAGATTTTGATTTTTTTTCCAGTTTACAGATTATATGGACACTGCAATGTAAGTAGAACAGGAAAAAAGGAGAAAAGATGAAAGAAAGAGGAGATAAAATGATCAATCAATCTAGTCTTGCTAGTTTGTGTGTTTCACTTTCTATTTTCACGTTTTTTTTACTTTATTTTTTATTTTGTTGTTGCAGATTTTATATTTCGAAATACAATTTCTTCAAATACATTTTTTATTTCTGTTTTTTTTTTTTTCCAGATGTAATTATAAGAAAATAAAAGGTATTGTGGAGGATTTTCGCGAATTTTTCACAAGACCCACCCTCTTCACTTGTGTGGTTGCGTGCAGGGGCCCATTTTTGCTTGTTTGCTTTTCGCATAGCTCATACAAGCTAACTGTGTCTGAACGTCTGCCCTAAATCGCTCAATTACTAGGTAGAGCGGGGACTATATAGTGGACTTTAGAATCAGGTAGCGACAGCCTATGGCGACATTTGGCCACTGTGACATCAAATCCCATAATGCTTTGCAAGAAGAGTTCTCCGCGCATAGCATTCTAAGATATATATCCCCCCTCTTCTGAGGCCTCTCTTTTCTTTTTATACACTTCGTAGACAAATGTTCTCTTATGACCCTCTGCCATTTTCAGAGAGTGAGAAAGGTGAGCTCTATGACTCTGAAACCATAGCTCACCACAGATATACGCCTGAAAATGCGCATGCGCAGGAAAATTTAACGGTGTGAGCATGTAGGATGGCCTTACGTAAACATATCACCAGAATGATTGACAATTAGGAGGACCACTTATTTAGATGATCCACCCAGAAATAAAAGATCGTCCTCTATACCAGAGGTGACGGATTAGCGGACTACGGTCCGGATCTGGACCCACCTGCTGGGTAAATAAATTACCGCATGTTGTCCGATAAATGTGTCTAACTTCACTTGCGCCGCTGCTCCTTTTAATACGGTAAAGCCCTCCAGAGCGTCAGAGAAAATTGTTGCCTGGGTTTAACTAAATGCTAGATTACACGGCAAGATACAAAGATGTGATTTAAAACATAAAAAATAAAAAAAATCAGATTTAGTTGTACGTAATTGTCTCCAGCCACATGACAAGCTGATTGCCACAACCAATGCGAATAGACCAGAGGTCACGGATTAGTGACCCGGGGTCTGGATCCGGACCCAACCTGATTTAAAACATTTAAAATCACTGCATGTTGTCTGACGACAGTGTCTAACTTCACTTGCGCCTCTTCTCCTGTTAATACGGTAAAGCCCTGGGGAGCGTCCGGCTCCAGGCTGCACGTGATCCAGATTATCCAATGAGCTGTCAGTCTGGGTTGCTGCTGCTGCTACTTTTAGACACAGCAGGCAAACCTGTGGCAAGCCGCGCGATGGGAAAGAAGGAGAAGATGATGAGAAAAAGAGAGCAGAGAAAGTGTGGACTGCTGGAAGAACTGCGGTGAACTGGTGAAAGAAAAGTGAAATGGCGTGCTCAAAGATGACCCTGCACATTTAGAGGATGTTTGGCTCAACCTGCTGCTGTGAAGCAGGATTCTCCACCATGAACAGAATCAACAATAAATCTGGATCCAGGCTCAAAATGAGCACCTTGATATGTGCTTGAGAATGGCTTAGTCTCTGGTTAAACCCAGGTTTAAAGCCTTGCAGGGCAGCCTAAAGCCCACTGCCAACATTAAGACAGAAAAAAGAAAGAAAATAACAAACGAACAGTTCAGGGGTTTGAGAAAATATGTGAATTAGGAAATTGTCTATAAACCAAACTGAACGATTGTTCTCCACTTAAAATTTTTTTTATCTTAAAATGTAAAAAAAAATCTATTTATTTTATTTATTTAAAAGTTCAATGTAAATATAGATACACCTCATTTTATTTCAGTGTTAAATTCTGTATAAAGTAACATATTATAATATTATAATGTCTTCAGACCTTTACTGGTTGTTGATTTTTTTTTTTTTTTTTTGTTACCCCTGATCTTCACTTCTGGGGTTCGGCTTTCCTCTGAGCATTTCTATTGGTCTGCTGGACGCTGGCAACATTTTTATTGGTCAAGAGCAAGTTATTCACTATTAAGGCAAGGCAAGGCAAGGCAAATTTATTTGTATAGCACAATTCAGTACAAAGACAATGCAAAGTGCTTTACATGATTAAAATATAGGAAGATAAAACAGAATCAAAGCAAGTAGAAAAAAAAATTATAAATAAAATAAAATAAAAAATGCAGAAACAAAAAAAGAATATTAAAAACAGTTGGAAGTTGTTGTTAGATTACATTTATTTATTTGATGATTTTTTTTTTCAAAGTTAAGAGAATGTGATCTGTAAAATGCAATGTGAAAAGAATACAATTTGTAAAACTTTATTTGAAAAAAAAAAAATAAATAAAAGTTAGAAAAAAAAAATTATAAAAAAGAAAAAAAATAAAGATGATAAAATAAAATAAATGCAAAATTACTCTTAAAACCTTTTTTTAGATTAACTTTTTCAATGTTTCATTTCTTGATAGCATTTTCCCCTCGAATTTCAATTTACAAAATATGTTCTTTGTTTTCAACAATAGTGAAACAAATTTTACTCCATAATAATCTAAGAGGTGCTTATTGTAATCATTTATGTTTGAGGATGATATCCAGGTTGTCAGATCGAATGGAAGAGGAGGAGGAGGAAGAGGAGGATGAAGAGCGTTGCGTTAACCCTACGGAGGTGAAAATGAGTCAGATAGTCATGCCCTTCCACTGTAACCATCGGCAGGAGCTGAGTGTGGGACAGCTGCTAAAATGGATGGACTCCACCGCCTGCCTCTCAGGTGTGTTGCTCTGTTGGAAGGCTTACTGGAAATGTTCCTCGTAGATGCATGTGGTCAGCAAAGCTAATCCAGACAGGAAATGACTCTTTTTTATTTTTATTTTTCCATGTGAGCAGCTGAGAGACATGCTGGAAGTCTGTGCGTCACGGCCTCTATGGACGACATCCACTTTGAGCACACCATCAGGTAACAGGAAGGCCATGTGAGGATCGGACGACCCAGACAGAAAACACTCATCTGTCCTCATTGTGTCCTCAGCGTCGGTCAAGTGGTGAACATCAGGGCGAAGGTCAACAGAGCTTTTAACTCCAGCATGGAGGTGAGTGAAGCTGCTGGTGTGGGTTTGGAAAAGGCTGAACCCCGAAACCAGCTGATAAAAATCAGCATATTGATAATAACATGTTACGATTATTTATTATGACCACAGCTGTCACCAGATTATTACGTAACATATTATCACAGCTACATTAGCTTTTAAAGGTATTTCTTGTTTGTTTTATTGTGAAACAAAGATGATCAGTTACCACACTCTGCAGTTTTGAAATTGTGATTCATTCGTTGAAGGAAAGTCATCCAAAGCAACCTGGTCCTGAATGAACTAGATTTATCCTCCAGGTCCACTCAGCAAATGACGTCATTGTAACTTCCATGCTCCTCCACGCATCGTCCTCTAAACTAAAGGCTGAGTTATACTCATGTGTTGGGTTGTTGCTCCACTCTGTGTGAATTGGAAGCGATTCCCATAGGACAGCAGTAGATGGTTATACTAGGCAATACTATAGGTGTCAGTATTCTCTTAAAACACGGGGGGGCAGTACTCAACATAACCACTGTAAATTAGAGTCCTGCACGGGTTGAGTTTTACCAACATCCTACCAGGTGTTAGGATGTCTAACGAACCCGACCCGTCACCCGCGGATATCTTCAATTCAAATCCGAACCGGATCCGACCCGTTGATATTTAACCCGCAACCCGACCCGTTAACACATCAAGTAATAGGCTATAGTACGCTACGCTGCAGAACAGCGCCATTAACACTGCAGCAGACATATATGCACTGACTGTGGCCTTTTTGGAGGGAAGCCCACACTGCCGGCAGGGCTTTAAGCTACAACAAGGGTGACCCCAGTGCCTGATTAATAGAACATTTCTGATGTCCATAACAACACACATGCATAAAAAAAAAATCACCAACTACCCGCCCGCACTAAAAAAATATCCGCCCGACCCCCGACCCGTTTATTTTTATTTATGTATTTTTCACCCGCAAATTAGCATTTTAGCGGGTGACCCGTCGGGGACCCGCGGGTACCAGACCAGTTGCAGGACTCTACTGTAAATGCATTTAAAAGAGAAGACGCCGTTTGCTTCCTTTCAAAATGGCCACACATAGAATTCTGTCTCCTTGAACCCCAGTCGGCTGCTTAGACTTAGCCTGGTTCTGCTGGAGGTTTCTTCCTGTTAAAAGGGAGTTTTTTCTCTCCACTGTCGCTACAAGCATGCTTAGTTCGAGGGATTGCATTTGAGTCAAAGAGTCGATGCAATCAGCTGGTTTTCCTTAGATTTAAAAATTTGACTCAATCTGACTGGTGAACTCAATCTGGTGAACTGTAAAGTGCTTTGAGATGACATGATGTGAATTGGCGCTATAGAAATAAACTGAATTTAATTAAATTGACATAATGTAAGCGGGGGAGGGATTTACCATTAGACATAGCTAGGCTGGGGCCTAGGGCTTCAAGTTCCTGGTGGCCCCATAAAACTCTGCTTACACTTATAGCTAATACAACTATAAAATTTTTGTGCACATTCATTTTTTTTGGGGGGAAAAAAATCAGTTCGCTAAAATGCCATCAGAACGCTTATAATATTAAGCGTGTCTAAGCCCCCATTCCCCCCCATCCCTTCAGTGTCCACCACATTGGATCAGTTTGCTGCACATTTTCAGAAAGGTCCAAACAGACAGCAGCAAACCATTAGAAACCCTTCTAGCTCTACTTACATAGCAGTGTCCATATAATCTGTAAAACTCCCTGCATAATTATAATAAAGGGATTTATATGCATAAATCAAGTTGAACACTCTTGCGATAGCCGTACTGCTCCACTTGTGAAAGTAAAATCTGTTGGGCTCTTTTTGGCATCAAGACAATTATTCTTATTGCCACATTGCCAGACAGGACACTGTAAAAACAAAATTAAACCTTTCTAGCGATTTCATTTTAAAAGAGCGCCTAGTGCCAAATCTAGCAACTTCTTTCTGCTACTGGAGACTTTGGAGACAACATCTAAAAGCAGCAAACTCTGCTCTCCAGAGCGAGTAGATTGGTAACCCCGCCTCCTGCTCTCCTCTATCTTGTCTGCTGTCATGATTCATGCAGCTATTATTTCATCCAAATGAAAAATGGAGAACAGAGAAGCAGATCATGGCTTGTCTACAGTGAAAAGAAGGACTGGGTTATTTACTTTGGCCTTTTTGGAAACACAGGAAGGAGCAATCAGCTAAGTGAGCTTAGTGCTTGGAAAAAATCTTTCATTCCTTTAGAGACAGCATGAAAAGTCAGCTGAGTACAAAACATAGAGAGGAAAACAAGAAGAAACGGGACAAGAAGAGAGGGACAAAACCTAGAACAGATACTGTATGTCTATCCTATTAAAATGTGTCTTTCTATATAATGGATCTGTTTTATGTGTTGTCATTTTGATTCAGAGGGCCCCAAATTTCCTAAAACCGCCTCTGAACATAAGAATAGACCCCGCATCGATCGATTTCGCCTATGGGAGCTGACATGATTTGGTGGCGCCATCTTGGAGCGGTCGACCGCTCCGCTCAGTGTAATGTGTTGAGCAGGGACAGAATAAATTTTTATCAATTTGAACTCAATGAATATTTAACAAATTTCCCCTTTTTTTTTTTGCTGAAAAACAAATGGTGCAGTGTATTTAAATATTCTTAGTGGGGCTAAGAGTATGCATGTTGCAAAGCACAGCCATATATATATATATATATATATATATATATATATATATATATATATATAAAAAACACACACCGGTTACTGCACTACCCGATTAAAGGAACATTTTTCTAACATTCTGGATGATATGGAATCACGTCTCCATTTAGATTCATGGTTTATATTTTAAGATCCTGATTAGGTCTGATGTCTGCTGTCCCAGGTGGGGATCCATGTGAGCTGTGAGGACCTGTTCTCCGATCGCCACTGGAGGGTGTGCCATGCCTACGCGACCTTTGTGACGCAGAGAACTAACACTGGACAAAAAGTAAGAGTGCGGAGTAGTTCAATAGCAAAATACTTTCTGTCATAGTTTGAAAGTGTTTGGCCCACATGCAGACACAGAAGGAGAACAAGGAGCAGTTTAAGACATTTATTAAGGCTATACACAGATATGAATAGCTCACTATGTGAGCGGCAGGCGAGGTTCGGAACGTCAACGGTAGGAGCACTGCGGGAGGAAAGAGGAAACTGATTAACACTAGAAGAGTTAGGGGGATCTGCGCTGATGCCGCTTCGCTTAGCGCCAGGTACGGATAACCTATACGGGGAGGGTGAGTGGAAGAAGGGATTCTGCGACTCACTGCTTTCCGATGTGAGGAGAAGGCTGAGCGACAGGTGAGCTAGCGGATGGAACTTAAGCGGGAGCCCAAGGAGCACCACAGCAGAGACAGGTTCGAGGAGCAGCTGAAGGGACCAGAGTGAATCCAGGAATGGGGGTCTCTTGTCCGGCTCGGTAGCATCGATGGGGCTTAAAGGCACACTATGCAACATTTTTCAGTTAATTAATGTGTTCCATAACGTTTTGGATGATTTCAGGTCGAACAAAGGTATTCTCGGCCGCCCTGGTGGTCTGTAGAGGAAAAACCGTACTTGCCATTGCAGGAGCCCTCGGCCCGCACCCACAGGCTCAGAAGTCTCGTGCATCGCGAGAGTCGGTCGTGCTTTACGGCGAGAACTGCTACGCGCCCCCAGTGAAAGGCATGCTCGTTGCTAGCGCAGTGGCGGTATTTTTGCAGTTATCATGGCGGAACCAGCGAGAAAACAGCGAAAGCCCATGTCATCCGACAGTCGGATAAATGTATGGGAAACTCCAACTTGGCTAACTACAATCTTTGTTATTTAGACACATGCATAACAAATAATGTGTGAAAACATGCTAAATTTTCACACTCGAAAATTGGAACAAAATAGTCACTTACCGCAATAGACATGGTGATTCGTTGCGTTCGCCTGTCTGCTAAGCTCAAAACAACCGCGCCTGGCTTGACGGAGAAACCAGGAGAACAGCTGAGCATATTTACGACAGCGCACTTTTACTTTCGCCCTCTGGGGGGAGCCTCGCTGGAAAATCTACACCGGTTGCATAGTATACCTTTAAGGGGAACGCCATTCAGGAAACAGTCCTCAGCGCATGGGGACACGACGGACGAGAAATCCAAAGCAAGACGAACTAAGAGAGACAGGAGAACCAGGTAAGACCTAGGAATCCAAAAGGTTTAACAGGAATGAAGAACCGTCGACTGGACAGAGGCCTAGGCGTACCACAACGGTCCAACACTCTGGCATCCTTCATCTGACTGGAAACTCCTTTTAAGCCCCAGCCAGAGCTGCAGCTGCGGGGCCACGCCCACCTGTCAACAACAGCCACCTGTAGAAGAGAATCAACAGAGCACAGAATCCTGACACTTTCTAAAGGCTCAGCTCAACTCATAATTGGAGATTTCCTTCACAACAGTCATAACTTGGTATTTTACATGTGACATCCAAGTTTGAAGACGTTTCGCTTCCATCCAGGAAGCTTTTTTCAATTCAAAATGTCAGAAATGTCGTCGAGTTTGAGTCTTTATCCAGCAGCCCAACAAAGCCTTGTTTTGAATTAGAAAACATGCTAATTGAAACGGGCGAAGGGGTCCACCCTTTGGAATGGGGAGTTGATGGCTTCTTTATTAGCCTGCAATAACGCATACCTGTCTGTCTCTGAAAGAGGGTCGTTCCAAAGGGGCAACCGCCATTCGAGACCCCCATTACAAAGGGGCGGACTTGTTCGTTCGTTTTAATTTGCATGCAGTTAACTCAGTTAAGACAAACAAAATTTAAGTTAAAGGGTAACAACAAAAAAAGCAGGAATTGGGGTTTTTTTACTCATGGCAACAGGCAACAGGCCTTTTCTTCCCTTCAATAATCTTTAACCAGTTATCCAACTACAGTTTTCTCTGGTGCGACCAAACAGAGCCTGTTTAGTTTGTAGATAATAATAATAATAATAATAATAATAATAATACATTTTATTTACCGGGGCCTTTCTGGACACTCAAGGTCACTTTACAGAAAATAAAAGAAAAAATGAAAATACAAAAATGCAAATACAGGAACATGTATTTGTGTTCCCCACGCCACTGGAGACTTTTGATGAAATGAAAGTAACTTATGCCCCATCATGTGATGGGGCATCCTCACCATGAGCTACTTTCATTTCATTAAAGTCGTCAGTGGTGTGAGGAACACATCTACACACTAATCAGGCTCCGTTTCAGACTTGACTCAGTTCAAACACCTGTGAATCAGAAACCACAATTAGTTCGGAGCTTTCATTTTTCCACTTTATCTATAGAGATATAAATAATCGCACACAAGCTGGTTTGCATTGGTGGGCATTACTTATTCAATTTAATATTACTAAAAGAATGATAATAATGCATTTCATTTAAAAAAAGCCTTTTTAAAACACTCAAGGACATTCTACGATGTATATTAGAAGTAAATAAGAAAGGAGAAATAAGTCAACAAAGCACCAGCAACAAATGATAGAGTGTTAGAGCTAATAAGCAGGTTTATATTGATGTTTTTGTTTTGGGTAGCTTTTAGGGTGGGGGAGGGTGTCAGTATTGGATGCAGAGCTAAAGGCCAGAATAAGCCTTTAACAGCTGCTTTTTGTGTCTCTGCTTCTGTCTCCTTGAACCCCAGTCGACCTCAGCAGATGGCCGCTCACACTGAGCCTGGTTCTGCTGGAGGTTTCTTCCTGTTAAAAGGGAGTTTTTCCTCTCCACTGTCACTACAAGCATGCTTAGTATGAAGGATTGCCTTTGAGTCAATGAGTCAATGCAATCAACTGGTTTTCCTTAGATAGAAAACTTTGTATCAAATTGACTGGATGATCTGGTTGAACTGTAAAATGCCTTGAGATGACATGTGTTGTGAATTTGGCGCTATATAAATAAACTGAATTGAATTGAATAAAAGCTCTGCTTCATTTGCTGCAAATCTTTCATAAATCATTTGATTAAAAGCTCTTTAAAATATTTCTACAATGTCTACAGTGAATATAGGCAGATGACTGATCTTTTAAAGCAGGGGTCTTCAACGTTTTCCAGGCAAAAGACCCCTAAACTGATAGTTAGATGAAGCAGGGGCTCCCTAATTATATATATTGTATGAAATTGTGTTCTATCAAACTGGTCCTATAGTCACTCTATTACAGATGGAGTAATGTAACTAAAGTAATCCCTCCATGGGATTATTAAAGTATTTCTGATTCCTGGTTGATGGGACAGGTGTTGTGAATGAAACGGTGCCCAGCTTGAAAGAGCTCCTGTGTGTCGCTGAATGTGAGCATTGATGACTGAAAGACATCTTCTGCCTCCATTTATCTGTTTACTACAGTGAGTTGAATTCATGTTAATGTGGATTTAAAGACATTTTAATTAGTGGGAAAAAATGCAGGGGGGAATATATAAAAAAAGTCTAATCAACCAAAATGTTTCGCGACCCCCATGCAGTACCTCCGTGGAGCCCCTAGGGGTCGTGGACCCCCTGTTGAAGACCTCTGTTTTAAGGTCCACCTCGTGCGAGTCGTGATGAAGCCGCCTACGTTGACTGAACATACAGGTGCTTTTTTTCCACAGGTCACTCTGAGAACCGTCGTACCTCAGACTCAGAAGGAGCATGTGGAATACAGCGTGGCAGCTGAGCGAAGACGAGTCCGGATGATTCACAACGACATCATCAAAGAACTGCTCTCCAGTGGGTCCGTAGAGCGAGGTAGGCGCGATGCAGAGTGCCACAGCCCCACCCTAAAGTAAAGGAAAGCAGCTGGACACGGAACTCTGTTTAGAAGTTTAGAACGCTGAAAGCTTATTGTGCTTGTGGCATCATGGGGGAGACCCGTGTGAAAACATCTGACTCATGATTACAGCTAACACAGCCGCTGCAGGTTGTTTTTAACCACCTGATGTTGGTCTCCACACTGCAAAAACAATCCAGAAATAAGTAAAAAATGGCTTAAATTAAGTATATTTAGCCTTAATTTGAGCAGGTAAATAAGATGATTTGCCAATGGAATGAGTATTTTCACTCTTAAAATAAGATAGTTAGATAATATTTACTTGAAATAAGACGATAAAACAGTTTTTTCTTATTTTAAAAGGAAATTGTCTTGTTCCATTGGCAAAGTGTCTTACTTACCTCCTCAAATCAAGAAAAAACACACTTATTTTAAGAAAAAATAACTTATTGAGATTTATATTTTTTGCAGTGCAAGTGTAGAAGTGTTGTTTAAGCCTGTTTTTTATTTATTTATCAGCTGACAGCTCTGCCGTGAGCAGCGGCGTGGCAGCGGAGAAGACCAGGGTGGAGAGTGTTGAACTGGTTCTACCTCCACATGCAAACCACCAGGTCATCCATGTGCTTTTCTATATCTGACTGTAAAGAAAAGGATTTAAAATGGTGACAAATGGCATTGTGCTTGGCTGATTAAAAGGCATACTATGCAACATTTTTCAGTTAATTAATGTGTTCCATAACGTTTTGGATGATTAAATGAGTCATTTCAGGTCGAACAAAGGTTTTCTCGGCCGCCCTGGTGGTCTGTAGGGGAAATACCGTACTTGCAATTGCAGGACCCCTCGGCCCGCACCCACAGGCTCAGAAGTCTCGTGCATCGCGAGAGTCGGTCTTGCTTTACGGCGAGAACTTGGCTAACTACAATCTTTGTTATTTAGACACATGCATAACAAATAATGTATGAAAACATGCTAAATTTTCAAACTCGAAAATTGGAACAAAATAGTCACTTACCGCAGTAGACATGGTGATTCGTTGCGTTCGCCTGTCTGCTAAGCTCAAAACAACCACACCTGGCTTGACGGAGAAACCAGGAGAACAGCTGAGCATATTTACGACAGTGCACTTTCACTTTCGCCCTCTGGGGGGAGCCTCGCTGGAAAATCAACACCGGTTGCATAGTATACCTTTAAATCCCTGTGAAGGAAAGAGCTTTGTTTTTTTTTTTGCATCATTGGAAAACGTCCGTCAGAGAACATAGAAATTACATGTGGAGCTCCCCAAGGGTCCATCTTAGAGACCTTTATATTTAATGTCTACATGCTCACTTTAACTCAGATCTTAACAAACATTTGTTACCATAGCTATGCAGTCAAGACACAGTTTGCAGTACGATGTCACCAGGTGACCATGAACCCATTAACGAGAGAGTTAAAAAGAAAGCTGAGTTTAAACGACAGCACACAGCTTTGTGATGTCATTAAGTGTTTTAATCGACTGTTTTCAGATGAACACTTTTGGAGGACACATCATGGCCTGGATGGTGAATGTAGCAACGATTGCTGCCAGGTAACTCTTCTACATGCTTCTCAGTGTTTAACAGACATGGCCAAACTGTTATTAACTGGATGGAGACAGCTTGTGTAGAGAGAGAATACAAACTTCATCTGATTTCATTTCATCATTAAAATATTGTTTGCAAAGTATTATTGCTTCAGTGAACAACGTTTGTATTGCATCTGAGAGCTAATCTTCAGATTTCTAAAAATTAAAGCAAAAGCAAATTGTAAAAGAGAAATAATATATAATGAACCAATATTAAATCAGAAGGCCTTTATATACAACCAGAGTGAGCTAGCGGCGTAACGTTTTGTAACGTCTTTAAGAAAATAGTCTGAATATAATGATGCTTTTCTTTCTTTAAAGGAAAAGTCCAGTCAGCAAGTAATAAGCATATAATTAATGGACGTTTACGGTGATTTAATGATTTTAGCGTTAATCGGTATAAAATAAAAATAGGTTTTGTCGCGATGAGTCCGGGAGCGGCCATTTTTGCCCAAGTATAGTAACCCCTCCCTCCTGCCATCTTCCAGCAGTGACGTCACGGTGCGGTAAGCCTAGCGCCATTCTCCCCGCTTTACAAGCAGAATCAATGGGAACTACTAGACACATCTGCAATCAACAACAATTATTGAAGATTTCCAGAGGACTTCACCATTGAAATTTATGAGAACTTGGACATGCTTTGGTGGCGCAGTGGTTAGCGCACACGACTCACGTATGGAGGCCTTAGTCCTCGATGCAGCTGACCCGGGTACAAAACTGGCCTGTGGCCATTTGCCGCATGTCTCTCCCTCTGTCTAATACCCCCTTTCCTGTCAGCCTACTGTCCAAAACAAACGAGCCACAAAAAAAAAAAAAGGCAGAAATTCACCAGAGCTATAGTGAAACTGACAATGCCCACGTGCATGGCAGCTGGATGTTGGAATACATCGGGTAAAAGTGAAAAAAAAAGAGTTATTCCACCTTTCTGATTCCTGATCCTCCACGGACGGGTTGGTCGTTGGATCGCCAACTTGAAGAGGGAGGATTTGCCATCGAACTTCTGACCAGAGAAAAAACACGTAATATGTAGCCAACATTTGGAAGAAGAATGTTTTCAAGATGACTTGGATAATAGCGCGTTGTGACAAACACCAGATACAGCACTGGGACTTGAGCAACAGCTGATACCGCACCGTGACGTCACAAACCAGTAGGTGGCAGTAGTGTTCTTTGACAAACATGGATGCCTCCAGTAAAGCACATTCACATGAAAATTACTCTTAATTAAAAACACTTATCAGTTGTTGAACAGTATGTAATAATTTCATATTTAAAGTACTTTCAGAAGTTTGAATCTTGAATATGAGCGGACTTTTCCTTTCAAGTCCAGCAGGGGCTTGTTCTCTTCTTGCTGTAATCTTTCTGTTTATTCTTCCTTTTTCGATGCAGTCGTTTCTGTCAGGCTCATCCAACTCTTCGGACCATCGACATGTTCAACTTCAGAGGACCCTCTCAGGTTGGAGACCGGCTGCAGCTCAAGGCTATCGTCAACAATGCCTATAAAAACAGGTACCAAGGCTTAAAATGCTGAACTGGACGAGACCTTTAAAGAAAGTTTGATGCCAATAGATCGGATGGTTCCTTGCAGCCTGGAGGTGGGGGTCCGTGCAGAAGCCTATTTGGAAGAAGGTCTAAGCCGACACATCAACTCTGCCTTCATGATCTTTGAGGTTCTTGACAGCAGTGGGAAGCCGTGTGCTCTTCCACGGATACGACCAGAACCCCTGGTGAGTTAACTATGCAGAACAATAACAGCCGATCACCTGGCCGCGGGAAGTTGGGGTGCTGGGGGTGCTGCAGCACCCTCTAGTGGCGAGACTGAGATTTTTTAAAATGTATTTAAAATACTCTGCACAATTAGCCTAATTTACACAAGTTCACAGAAGCGGCGTTGTCAAGGCAACGTCAAGCAAGCTAGTGGTCACCGAGTCAAGAGGTATCCCGCTCGCAGCAGCAGAATAGTACATTTACGTAGTCTAATGACAGAGACGGGGAGGGAATATGGAACAGAAACGCATTTCAGATTTTTTTTTGAAAAACTACCACCAGTGAAGAACACTAGTACCGCAACCATGACAACGGAGAGCAGCCATAGTGAGTTGACTGTCCTCCCGCCTCTTTTAGCAGTTGCACCGGCAGGCCCAGTCCCAGCTAACCTGACTCCGCCAGATGGATTTGCTCCGCATATCCATCTGGAAACCTTCCGTTGAAGTAATTTTGGGAAGGGGCGAAACTACTGGTTAGCTGATTGGCCTATGTTGGTGATAGACGGGCCAAATAAACCAATCAGATCAACGAAGCATATGACGTACTAACAGAGCGACAACGAAAACACAACCACAAGCCAGGCTACTCTTGCCGAAACCAGTCGGGAGAAGAGCAAAAACATCTTTTCCTCTGAGAAAAGCCTCCAGAGCAGTGTTTTGCTCTTTTTTCAGTTAAGAAAAACTCTGTAATTCCTTGCTCCATAGCCACGCTAACGCTAGTTTCATCGGCTGAAGCCGCCATGTTCTTTAGACTGAACTGTCGCGCTTCTCGTTGCTTCACACCTCAACCCGCCTCAAAGCCAACGCTGATTGGACGTTCATTTGGTGAACGGCTCCACAGTCCCAGCACCCGCAACCCAAGCTAGCGTGATTGGATTAGACAAGCCCTTCCAGGTAACATCCAGTTTAAAATTCCCTGCACAGAGTTAAGGTAATTAAACATTCTTACGTTCTGTGGCACCGGCTTGGTTTGCCACCAGGCCCTCCGACCACCATTAGCAGACAACGTAGGTGAAGTGTCTTGCCAGAGGGCACAACGACACTGAAAGCCAGAGTCGAGGTTGAACCATAAAACCGTTGATTTCAGGGCAAACTCCTTCACCTGATGCCACTGTCACCCCTAGGTGGCAGTAGTTGCATTATATGAAAGAGACTGATCATATTGTGTGTTTTGTCAAAGAGCTTTAAAAAAAAGAAATCATAACTAGAGACTAATTTAGGAAAAACAGCTACTTTGTGAATTCTGCCTTTTCAAATTGGCATAAAGCCACTGACGATTTTTTTATTGTGAAGTTTAATTAATAGCGCGTATATTCACGTCTGTGTATTACAGACCCTGGTTGCGTGCATTAAAGCGTATATGACAATAAAGTAGTGAATTTCAATCTAGATTTTTTTTTGTTTAGTTGTATTTTAAATAGGCCTATATGACCTTTTTGTCCAAAAAAATCTTTCACAGCACCCCCTGTTCAAAAGTACTTCCAGCTAGAGTCCTGCACAGGTCGAGTTTTACCAACCCTCACCCGCCCGAACCCGTTAGGATGACTACCGAACCCGACCCGTCACCCGCGGATATCTTCAATTCAAATCTGAACCCGACCCGTTGATATTTAACCCGCAACCCGACCCGTTAACACATCAAGTAATAGGCTATAGTACGCTGCGCTGCAGAACAGCGCCGTTAACACTGCAGCAGACGTGTATGCACTGACTGTGGCCTTTTTGGAGGGAAGCCCAAACTGCCGGTGTAGGTACCAGATTGACTCGGGCTGCCAGATTGACTCGGGGGGCCTGCGCCTTTTGATGATGTCACAATACATAATTGTTTTAACGTTTGCACAATTGCGCAAAACATTTTGATTGGTCTGGACAGCTTACTAAAGTAATTATAGCGGGGTGTAGGTTTTATTCGAAAGCGGGATTGCGGTTTGTAAACGGACAATTTTACGAAGAAATTCTCCATGGTCCCCGCGCCTTCCGATGACGTCACCGAATTCGCCATGGGCCTTGCGCCTCCCGATGACGTCACATTATGGCAACGCCACTCAAACAAACTACTCCAGAGGAGAAAACACCAGGACACTGTGGGATTTTTTACCAGCTCTTTTGTTTAAATGTTTGTGTTTACATGAGAATAAAGTTTGAACTGAAAAAAATATATACCCATTTCCTGTAATCTGTAAAAAAATTTATGAAAAATTAATGTTTTAATGTATTATAGGTATTTGGTCAATTAACGGACAGTTCCAAACGATTACCGTTTATTGGCTAAATAAAATAGATTTGTGACAAATAGAGACCGCGGGCGCAATGTAGTTTGTTTGAGTGGAGTTGCCATATCGTTACGAGTGGCGTTGCCATATAGTGACGGGCGGAGTTGCCATATTATGACTTCATCAAAAGGCGCAGGCCCCCGAGTCAATCTGGCAGCACGAGTCAATCTGGTACCTACACCGGCAGGGCAACAAGGGTGACCCCAGTGCCTGATTAATATAACATTTCTGATGTCCATAACAACACACACGCATAAAGAAAAAATATCACCAACTACCTGCCCGCACTAAAAAAATATCCGCCCGACCCGTTTATTTTTATTTATGTATTTTTCACCCGCAAAAGAGCATTTTAGCGGGTGACCCGTTGCAGGACTCTACTTCCAGCGGCCCTGGCTGATCACTGATCATTTACTCATCATCCGTTTTTTTCACACTGATTTGTGATCCATATAAGCTCAACCACCAACTAGTTAACACTGACTCTTGGTGTTGATATTATACATGCCACCCTATAAATCAATACATTCATTCCTCCATTTTTTTAGGGAGTTATGGAGACCTAAAGGCTGAGTCCTCCCTGATTGATGGGCAATCATTAATATTGATGATATTTGATTAAAAATCAAGCTTCAGGCCATTGTGACTCCAACAGTGAGTCGTTTGCTTTAACAGAGGTATATCCGCGCTGTCTTTTTGTATGATGTTAAGTGCCCTGATAAAGTTGAAACCATGATTCTCCTTTTGTTCACTATTTATGTTAAAACCTCCAGTAAGGAAACTTATTTGAATCTGTTCTCCATTTATTCATTTTGAGAGTTATGGATGAAGTTTCCAATACTTTGACATCTGTGTTCCTGGTATTAGAATATTTTCATCACCATTGTCTGAGCTTTCATATATCTATCTAAACAAAGCTCAGGTCTATAAACCGAACAGTTTAATCGATTTTGATGGGTTAAATATCTCCTGTCATAAACCTCTTGAAGTCCAGATATTTCTCTTGGTCGCTTTAGCTCTTATCTCTCTGTAGCGTTCCTGCATTGCTCAGTCGCTGTAAAATACACGTGATTTATGAGTTACTAAAGACGGGTGCATTATCAGCAGGACAAGCGCAACAGGCCGCATGACCACACCTCTGATTATCCCAGAACCAACTGGTCCAGCTCATTGAGGCAGATATCTAATTTCCTCATGGTTGAAGCAATATAAGAAGCCATAGATTAAAACAAGTTGTTTATTAAAGGTGCTGCAGGAGATCTTGGAAAAACGGTTTCATCAAGCTATATTTTTGAACATACACAACCATGCCTCTCCCTCCAAACCACGCCTTCAAAACACATGATGGGCGCATGCTGTCTGCAGCGCGTCTAGAGTAGCAGGAACATCGCTTATGATGCAGAGCGCTATGATCACTCCTCCTCCTCAGTTTATTAACTCTGAAGTTTAGTTAAAAAGCCAAAATCTGCCGACAGAACATGTTCGCTTTTATTGTCCTGGTGCCTGCAGTTTGGATTATATATATGAAAAACGCCTTCCAGCCGCCAGAGGCTGCTGTTGAATGGGATTCCTAGTGACTGCGCACCGCCGGTATACGGTGATCTGAGCAGCTCTGACAAAAATAATATTTGAATCTGGTCACCCTGGCAAAGATGCTTCTGCCGTGCATCAGAACTAAACTTGTACAAGCATCAAAAAAGAAGCAGCACACACGTTTTTGCTGCTCTTGCTGCTTTAGGTGTGAACGTAGCATAACAGTGGCTAGCTTCCAGCCATGGCGTCCTGCACAAGCATTAAGGGTTTGATTCGTTCATGTCGCATATTTAATGACTTTAGACTCGACTTAGACTTGCATTTGAAGGACTTCAGACTCGATTGAGACTCGTGATTTGTGACTTGTGAACAATATTTTATTTTTAAGTGTTTTTTTGTTTTACTAACTTGACTGATCGCCGCTCGCCTTACCCGCACACAGCAGAGGTAAAAAAAAAAAAAAACGGCAGAGGGGCTGTCAAACTGTCACGTAGCACTGACGTCACTGACGCAACGCTACGTGACATATATGCCTGCGCGCCCGTGCGCATGCATGCATGATGGACAAGCCAAGCTTTAAAAACTTCATGGCAGTCGCAGAGGAGAAATATGTTGTGAATTAGTAGTAAATAAATAAACTGAATTGGATTTAAAATACTGCCCGCCAAGTCGGTTCTGTCTGTTCCAGGGCATTAAAGGAATAGTACACCCAAAACATGATTAGCCTTCATTTTCTACTCACCCCCATGCTGAACAACACCCTGGAGTACTTTTTTGATATCTCAAATGCATCTGGAGATCTGGGAGGCTTCTTGCTGTCAGCTGACATTCAAATAATGGAGGTCTATGGCGCCCGAGACAGAAAGGTCCATAAAAGTCCACAAAAAACGTGTCAATATTCCTCCATACTGCTCGTCCAATGTATTCCAAGTGTCCTGAGTGGGTAGCGTCCATAATTTACTCGAAACGAAGTCATTTAGAATGTTTTTAGAGCATAAACAGTAGTGTATAGGATTTCCTAAAAGCGAGTTCACGAGTCTACGGAAACCGCGGCAGACCAAACCAGATGAAAGTGCGCATTCAGCTCGGCAAAGAACTCATGCTCTTCCTCAACACTGAAGTCCTCAGACATTTTTCCTTCGTTGTTTCTTTCTTTACACAGGTAAACAGCACATTTCTTCTTCTATGCTTGCATTATCGGCAGAGCAGACGCTGAATGCGCACTTTCATCTGGTTTGGTCTGCCGCGGTTTCCGTAGACTCGTGAACGCGCTTTTAGGAGATCCTATACACTACTGTTTATGCTCTAAAACCATTCTAAATGACTTTGTTTCGAGTAAATTCTGGACGCTACCCACTCAGGACACTTGGAATACATTGGACGAGCAGTATGGAAGAATATTGACACGTTTTTTGTGGACTTTTATGGACCTTTCTGTCTCGGGCGCCATAGACCTCCATTATTTGAATGTCAGCAGACAGCAAGAAGCCTCCCAGATCGCCAGATGCATTTGAGATATCAAAAAAGTACTCCAGAGTGTTGTTCAGCATGGGGGTGAGTAGAAAATGAAGGCTAATCATGTTTTGGGTGTACTATTCCTTTAATCTCCTGTTTGTTCGTCATTTAAAGGAAGGTGAAAGAAGATACCAAGAAGCTGTAGCCAGGAAGAAAATCAGGCTGGACAGGTGAGTGTTTGATCTCTACATGGAGCTCCGCATGTGTGACATTTATTCATAAACAGCTGGATTATGTTTTTCTTTTTAAACTTGAATCAACGATGGGGAACTTTTAGCCACTAGGTGCACTAGATCTGTGGACTTCCGGGTTTAGCATCTCTGAAAGCAACTGGTAACCAAAATCACCCAGTATCCCTCTGTATTTTCTGATAGCAGAAGTTATGGGTTTCTTTGTAAATTTTAATAAAAAATTATTACATTTGAAAAACAATAGTTATAAAAAAAATTGAGAAATGTAAACAGTTTTAAAAAATACAATCTGAGAAACCTTCAAAGGTACTCTTAACACCTGTATTTATTAACACGTTTGAAATTGTATTTTATAATTGCATGTTTTTGAATTTTACAAAAAGTTATTTGCTTGCAACAGTAATGGGAAAAAATTCCCTCCATAGATTTTTATCCTTTTCAGCTCTTTGATAATTAAAACACATCCATCAGTCGACTAAAATCATATTGTTAGCATTTTCTTATCACTATATCATGTTGGAAAAATGGCCTCAATGTTTTCCTTTTTTTGTGTTTCAGGAAGTACATCGTCTCTCGTAAACAAAATGAGGTTCCTCTGTCTGTCCCCTGGGATCCCAGGAACCAGGTGAGTTTTAGTCGCACACAAAAAAACAGGCAAGCTTTTTCTCACAGGGCAATAATGACACATAGTTCATGTTACGTCACGCATAAAGACTGAACTTTGACATATTTTGCAAAACTTTGTTTACAGAAACCAACTAGAGGGTTCAGAGCTGTAATTTTCCACTTAATATATAGAGATATAAGTAATTGCACATGCAAAATTTCAGTTAGATCAAACAACAACCTTTCATATTGCATATTTTAAACCTTTCAATGAAATAACACCAGTGTTCTTATGTGTTTGCGTTTAGTTAGAGCACATATTTGTATATATCTTCACATCAGGAATGTTCTTTGCTTTAATTTTAACACCTTTTATAATTCTTAGATTTTGTGACAGATCCATGCTCATTTTCCATTAGAACATCATGGATTTATTGCCATGACTCAATGCATAGAAATGCTAAGTTAGCATTCACCAGCTGGAGGGGCTAATAGCGGATGTCCTGTCCTCTACAGTAATATAAATGGATCGTCAGCTTCATATCTTTGCATACTTTGAAAAACTCCCAATACTCATGCATACACTCACCGGCCACTTTATTAGGTACCCCATGCTAGTAACGGGTTGGACCCCCTTTTGCCTTCAGAACTGCCTCAATTCTTCGTGGCATAGATTCAACAAGGTGCTGGAAGCATTCCTCAGGGAGTTTGGTCCATATTGACATGATGGCATCACACAGTTGCCGCAGATTTGTCGGCTGCACATCCATGATGCGAATCTCCCGTTCCACCACATCCCAAAGATGCTCTATTGGATTGAGATCTGGTGACTGTGGAGGCCATTTGAGTACAGTGAACTCATTGTCATGTTCAAGAAACCAGTCTGAGATGATTCCAGCTTTATGACATGGCGCATTATCCTGCTGAAAGTAGCCATCAGAAGTTGGGTACATTGTGGTCATAAAGGGATGGACATGGTCAGCAACAATACTCAGGTAGGCTGTGGCGTTGCAACGATGCTCAATTGGTACCAAGGGGCCCAAAGAGTGCCAAGAAAATATTCCCCACACCATGACACCACCACCACCAGCCTGAACCGTTGATACAAAGCAGGATGGATCCATGCTTTCATGTTGTAGATGCCAAATTCTGACCCTACCATCCGAATGTCGCAGCAGAAATCGAGACTCATCAGACCAGGCAACGTTTTTCCAATCTTCTATTGTCCAATTTCCATGAGCTTGTGCAAATTGTAGCCTCAGTTTCCTGTTCTTAGCTGAAAGGAGTGGCACCCGGTGTGGTCTTCTGCTGCTGTAGCCCATCTGCCTCAAAGTTCGACGTACTGTGCGTTCAGAGATGCTCTTCTGCCCACCTTGGTTGTAACGGGTGGTTATTTGAGTCACTGTTGCCCTTCTATCAGCTCCAACCAGTCTGGCCATTCTCCTCTGACCTCTGGCATCAACAAGGCATTTCTGCCCACAGAACTGCCGCTCACTGGATGTTTTTTCTTTTTCGGACCATTCTCTGTAAACCCTAGAGATGGTTGTGCGTGAAAATCCCAGTAGATCAGCAGTTTCTGAAATACTCAGACCAGCCCTTCTGGCACCAACAATCATGCCACGTTCAAAGTCACTCAAATCACCTTTCTTCCCCATACTGATGCTCGGTTTGAACTGCAGGAGATTGTCTTGACCATGTCTACATGCCTAAATGCACTGAGTTGCCGCCATGTGATTGGCTGCTTAGAAATTAAGTGTTAACGAGCAGTTGGACAGGTGTACCTAATAAAGTGGCCGGTGAGTGTATATTGATAGTGTGGAGCAGGACTCCCCTTTAACAGGAAGACGGTGTGGGAGGGGCATCTGCAGCATCTGATGTGGGGAGGGGGGTTGACATATAGCTGAAGACCAAACAAATCAGGGACAAAGTTGTTAAGAAGTACAAGTCAGGTCTTATAAAAATATCCAAATCATTGTTTTCCAGGAGCATCAATAAAATTAATTAAATTTAATTGCAAAGCAGGTGGAACCACAATAAAGCTGCCAAGAGGGGGCGCTGCCCACTAAATCTTGCATTAAATCCAACATACTGGGCAAGGAGGTGTTCATTCTAGCTGTGGGTCTGATTCACTTTTAGTTTTGCTATCAAGGACTTGCTTTGCTTGGTGGACATCATGTTTGAGGCTAACCTAATCTGAATCAAGGGTCTTTGCAAAGGAGAACAGAGGCTCAGGTTTCATGGAGGTCCAGCGATCCCATTGTTTAGTATCACTGCACAAAACCTTAACTCTTTCAATCCATTTTACTTTAATTAACCGTCACTGTGGTTAAATTCTTGGCTGAAATTTGGTCAAATATGTCTTTATCATCCTGTGATCGATGTGCTGGATGTTCTGAAAACAGGTGTATCTCAGCTATAACAATGTATCCGCACTGAAGATGCTGGCAGCTAGGAAGAACTGGCGCCTCAGCACAGAGAGAGATAAGGTCTGGCAGTATTTTTGTTGTCGTTTTGAATTTAGATCAACTCATCTGTCCGGTTTCACACCAGGAACTGTTTGATTTACGATCTCTGTTCACAGGTTCGTCTCTACACCCTGGAGCAAAAGTCCATGTTGAGCATCAGGGTGGAAGCAGAGGTGGATGTTCCTGCTAACAGAGCCTTTTGTTTGCTCGCTGAGCTGAGCAACAGAACCAGCTGGGACACGCATTATAAGTAATACAGCACACACTTTTACCGAGAGACTAGCTGCTTTACCATTACAAATGTGCCCAAAACATTGCTAATGTTGAGAAAAAAAACACAATTTTCCAACTGTGATGTTTTTATTTTTAATAAGACGTGAAACTTAAAGGAGCAGCGAGCAAAATCTCACCACCAGGTGGCATTAAGCACAGCCTGTAGACCAAAACAAGATGTGTGACAAACGACGGCTCTCTACTAGGGGTGTAAATCACATCCATCATGGCGATTCGACCCAACGATTCGATTATTTTCGATACTCAAGAATACACCACGATTCGATTAATCGGTTAATTTTTTTATTAAATTTTTTTTTTTAGACCTTACAGGCTAAACAAAGTTTCAAGTTTGAAATAAATCAATGAAAGCTGTAATATCGTTATGCTTTTTTTTTTTTTTTAGAAACAACAGCAAATAACAGAAGTAGAAAAGTTGCATAAAAAAATACTGCACAAAATCAGTGCAATGAGTGCAATGCAATACCTCGGCTCCAGACGTCCTGCCCCCTCCACAGACGCTCCGCTGCTCCTCTCCCAAATTGTAGCTGACCGCAGACAGCGCCGCAGACAGGAGGCCGGCTTGTTTTGTTTTTATGACCGAAATTGCGGAAAACAACTCGTGAAGTTTGACCCGCTAGAAGAGTGAGGTGCGCGAGAACGCTGGGACCCTTTTTCCACCTGGATCTCCGCTCTTTTTGGCCCTCATGTCCCTCCGTCGTCGGACTAAACTCGCCCCCACTTCCTCGCCGCCTCGGCCGTATCTAGACCCACAGCGTGTAGCACAGACCACGCTTCAATATTGAGCATAATTTAAAAATGTCTGCATCAAGCTCACTGCAACACACTGCTGTAAGAGTATAACCAGGAAGCGTGATAGGAGGGTAAAATAGGTTTAGCGCCACCGCAGCACGTGAGGAGAATTACGCCCAGGAGCAAATGGATAAAAATAGACCGGAGGAAAAAAAAAAACATGAATCGATTCTCTTGCGGACGTATCGATGCATCGGATCGTCGGCTGTTGGATCGATGCATCGATACAAAACGATTATTATTTACACCCCTACTCTCTACCTCCCCTCCAGCTGCTCTAACCCTCCCCTTCTCTTCCATTGCCTCATCTATGCTCATTTTAGCAAAGGATAAATACAACTTTGTAATGTTTTACCATGAGAACTTCATTTCGGCAAATGATTGTATTCAGGTGAACATTGTGAGCCCTGGATGCGCTCTCTGTTTTTTGTGCTGCTATGCAGCGTTACATTGTGGATCGCTCTTAATGAACATGGAGGGGCAGAGCCCTGAGTGGCAGCGTTTCACATGGCTTGTAAACAACAGACAAGAGAGAGGGTGTGATGTCACATAATCTCTTTATATTTTTCAATCTGAAATAATGAGCTTTATGGAGGACCAACTCTGCCATATTTAAAAATAAATACAGAAATGGTAGTAACTAGCAGAAGTTGACTCTCTAAGAAACGCCCCCTCCTCATTTGCATAATGAGGCAGAAATGTAAAAAGGGCAGGCAGAAATAAATAGCGGCAAAGAAATAACTAGGGTAAAAAAATACAAAGGAAGAATAAAACCGACAAAAATGTTATAACATGCACATAAATAAATAAATACTTAAAAATATAAGTAATTAAAAAATAAAGTTGAAGATTATAAAGGACAAAAAAAATAAATACGGTAAATATTACAAAGGCAAATAAAAAAGGAGCTAATTAAAAGAGTTATATACATTTATGTCTCACTGTATAATTTAATTTCTTCTTACGTTATTTGTTCATTGTATTTTTGGTGGCAATTAATTGTATGCGTATTTATTTAGTGAGCATTTCAGAATCAGAAATACTTTAATAATCCCAGAGAGAAATTACTTTTGTTACACGCTCCAGTTACAGTTTCATATATTAGGGCTCGATGTTAACCATCGCCCGATCACCCGGGGCAAGTAGTTTTTATTGTCGGGAGAGTACAAAAAAATTATTTATCACTCAAAATTACTTAAAATCACCGACATTCGCTAAAAAACGACCCACAATTGTTGCCGGCGCCATTTTTGTTGTTTTGTACACATTCTCGCGTGATTTGAAAAAGCTGCGTGATTTTCCGCCAGATGGCGTGATTCAGCTCTTGGGGAGAGAATTCTGCACAGCAGCAGCTGGATGATGAATTTAATCTATACTATAAAACACGCTAGATTAAAAATGATCAGTCAGGGATTAGGAAAATAATAATAATAATTGTATGCGCACAGTGTAAATATTTCTATCATATGGCAGTCTTCTGTACAGTGATGCAGGTCATACATTAAAAAATGTTCATAAAAATTTTTTCTCTTAGACATTGGAGTGGTGCATTTAAATGTTACAGAGCTAAACATGTTAAATTGGTGAGTAGTAGTAGTGTAAGTTTTTAACCTGTCAAGCTTTTTTAGATTTTTAACATTACAATTTATATTTTTCCAAACACAAAACAGTTTAAAGCAAAGTTTAGTTTGAAAAGAATGTGCAGGAAGGATTGAAAAGCCTGTTAACACGGTAATGTAGGCTTGAGTTCATTATCTGACGCATGCAGATACACACCAGGAACCTGGAAACTTACTGAATTACAAAAAAACATAAAAAATAAACATGTTTCATTGATATTTATACAAAAATTAATATTAGGAACTATATTTATCAAACATTATACTGGGCAAGTAAAAATAGTTTCTGGGCAAATGAAATGTGAAAGTCACTTGCCCGAAGGTGTAAAAATCCTTAACGTCAACCCCTGTATATATATACACATCCAACTACACAAGATAACAAAGATAAAAATAAAAAAGATAAAATCTATACACATATAGCTCTTCTGTATATATATATATATATATATATATATATATATATATATATATATATATATATATATATATATATATATATATATATATATATATATATATATATATATAAAACTAAATCTAAGTAAAATGATAATCCAAGTAAAGTGATAAATCCAATTCTGTATTTATTTTTAAATATGGCAGAGTTGGTCCTCCATAGATCTGTTGCTCCTTGCTTAGAAATTAGTTGGTTTACTGGACAGCTCATTTTCGTTGTTATTTTTGCAGGTAGAATGTCTGATTATTCATCCTGTTATGCAGAAAGGAAGCGTTTCCATCGTTCATCCTTTCACAGTAGGTGAAAGGATGAACTTAGGGGAGCTGCGTGACCTTCACAGTCGTATCTAAAAATCCATATTTATCAGTTCATCGTTTCTAAAACTGGGAGCTCCTCCAACAAACGCATTCATACAAAACATTGGCTTTAACTGTTTGAGTCAGTTGATCAGAGTGTCCTTCCTAAACCAGGAAATGTGAGCTGATGCACCGGGTCGACGACGATGACTTTATTTACCGTGTGGTGACTCCATCGGTCGGATCCCAGACTTCCTCCAATCCAGGAGAAACGGTTCAGCAGGATTTCATCCTCCTGGCCTCTAAGAGGAAGCCCTGCGGCGATGGGTCAGTAGTTCCTCCTGAGGTCGGTGAATCCACCTTTAGTCCTGCAGGACTGACAGCCGCTGTTTCCCCCTCTCCAGAGATCCGTATGTCATCGCTCTGCGCTCGGTGTCCCTGGTCTCCCATCCGCCCTTAGAAGGATATAACAGAGGAGAGGTTCTGTGTGCTGGATTTACTATACTGGAAACCAGTAACAACATGTCATTGGTAAGAAGATCCTTTCTCTTTCAAAATCGGTTTATATAAAATCTGAAATGATTCCAACCCCTTTTTTTTGTGCTGTTTTTAATCAGATCAGTTACTATAACCAGGCATCTCCAGAGGTGCTTCCCTACATCTCCACAGATATCGCCGGTCTGTCCTCGTCTTTCTACCACACCTTCTGCTCCTGCAGCCGGTACCTGAGCAGAAACAGACAGGAGCCCGAGGAGCTGACAGGCGAATATGAAGCCACGGAAACCAACGGCGCCACCTCTCCGCTGTCAGAGGCACTGCGCAACACGCAGCTGTAGGAAACCCTCAGACCTTCATGGCCAGTTCATACCTGTGCTGCTAAACACCTGGTACAGAATCAATCAATGCTGCTTTAGGTCTTTTCTCTTAGCAGCTAAATTTACTCTGAAGAGTTTAAAATATTTCGCATAAAATCACTAAAACATGAAGGCGGGACTTAGGATGATCCGTCACATCAGCTCTTCCAGCCTTTTAACACAAAATGCTTCAAGGTATTTATAACATTCTGAGCCATTTGACTTTGTGGGAAATTGATTTTGTTCTTTTACACTTTTTTGTATTAAGAATATGTCTGATAAATAACTTTAAAGCTTTAAGGGTAGAGGATATTTTACTATAAATATTCTGTCGCTTTAAAATGAAATGTATTTTCTGGTGTAATATATATCAATAAAATCTGAAAAGAATGCTGACTAGAAATCTTCTTAATCTTCTTTTTATTATTTCCTTGGCTGGATATTTATCTCTCACAAGAATGTTTTGGTAATTTTGGTTTGATGGTCAAAAAGATTAGTTGTGATGTAAGATTTTTCTTTGTGCGGTCTCTGCTCTGTGGGGTTTTCGTAACACGGCAGGCCTTCCACCTGCAGGCGATGCAAACACCAGGAAACAATGGGAGACCTTCTGCACAGCTGATAGGTTTTATTTAGACTCAAAGATAAAGAAGAGGGGCTGTGGACGGCGAGACAAAGCACTCTGGATGCGTACAGAGAAAGCTTTCCAAAATGGAGATTAACAGAATTAGACGTCTCGCAAAGTTAAGGAAAATTATTAGCTAAATAATCTTTTCATATGCACTGGAAAAAACATCTAGAAATATGTAAAAATGTCTTAAATTAGGTGTATTTAGCCTTAATTTGAGTAGGTAAATCAGATTATTTGCCAATGGAATGAGTATTTTTACTCTTAAAATAAGATAATTAGATAATATGCAGTTGAAATAAAACAATGTCATTGTGTTTTCTTATTTTAAATGTAAATTGTGTTATTCTATTGGCAAAATGTCTCATTTACACCCTCAATTCAGGAAATGATGCAGTTATTTTAAGAATAAAATGACTCTGCTAGATTTCAATCTTTTCCAGTGTGTTTACTTTGTGTAAATTTTCAATTCAATTCAATTCAATTCAGTTTATTTATATAGCGCCAAATTCACAACACATATCATCTCAAGGCACTTTACAGTTCAACCAGATCATACAGTCAAATTGATACAAAGTTTTCTATCTAAGGAAAACCAGTTAATTGCATCGACTCAAATACAATCCCTCACACTAAGCATGCTTGTAGCGACAGTGGAGAGGAAAAACTCCCTTTTAACAGGAAGAAACCTCCAGCAGAACCAGGCTCAGTGTGAGCGGCCATCTGCCGAGGCCGACTGGGGTTCAAGGAGACAGAAGCAGAGATACAAAAAGCAACTGTAAAAGGCGGCCCTGTCCAGGAAACACACAGCCAGGCAGACAAGCTCCAAGGCAGCTCCCATGCCAGAGGACGAAGAGAGCACATCCAGCCAGTCACGGTCAGAGAAACAGGACCACACTGGAAAACAGGCCGATCTCCAACATCTATAAACAAGGGTGTTGATGGAAGCAGCACAGCTGATGTTTCTTTCCAGGATGACGTCACAGCCAAACAGGAACAGACGAGGCAAAGCTACTCTGAGGAAAAGCAGAGAGAGCAGAAGGTTAGAGATTGAACTAACAGATTCTGCAGTTAGGAGAACAGAGAGAGAATGAAGCAGAATGATGAAATGGGGGTCCCTATGTCCTCCAAAAGTCTAAGCCTATAGCAGCATAACTATAGAGATAGCTCAGGATAACCTGAGCCACTCTAACTATAAGCGTTATCAAAAAGGAAAGTTTTAAGCCTAGCCTTAAAAGTAGACAGGGTGTCTGCCTCACGGACTAAAACTTGTAGTTGGTTCCAAAGGAGAGGAGCCTGATAACTAAAAGACCTGCCTCCCATTCTACTTTTAGAAATTCTAGGAACCACTAGTAAACCTGCAGATTGAGAGCGAAGTGCTCTGTTAGGAACATAAGGAACAATCAGATCTCTGATATCAGATGGAGCTTGGCCATTTAAGGCCTTATATGTGAGAAGGAGGATTTTAAATTCTATTCTTGATTTAACAGGAAGTCAATGAAGAGAAGCCAGGATAGGCGAGATATGATCTCTCTTTTTAATTTTCATCAGAACTCTGGCTGCAGCATTTTGGATCAGCTGAAGGCTTTTAACTACAGTTTGTGGACTTCCTGATAGTAAAGAATTACAATAGTCCAGCCTTGAAGTAACAAATGCATGGACTAGTTTCTCAGCATCACCCCTGGACAGGAGATTTCTAATTTTTGTAATGTTCCTCAGATGAAAGAAGGAAATTCTAGAAACCTCTTTGATGTGGGATTTAAATGACAGGTCCTGATCAAAAATAACACCAAGATTTTTTACTTTATTATCTGAAATCAGTTTAATCCCATCCAAATGAAGTGACTGGCTAATCAGTTTCTTTTTCAGAGACTCTGGTCCAAAGACTATAACTTCTGTTTTGTCTGCATTCAGGAGCAGAAAGTTAAGAGTCATCCAGGTTTTTATGTCTTCAAGACAAGCCTGTAATCTATGTAATGGGTTAGCTTCATCTGGATTTATAGACAGATATAGCTGGGTATCATCAGCGTAACAGTGGAAATTAATCCCATGCTGTCTAATAATTCTACCAATTGGGAGCATGTATAAAGTAAAGAGAATTGGTCCTAGCACTGATCCCTGTGGTACTCCACAGGTAACCTTTGAGCGTGTTGAAGATCTATCATTAACATGAACAAACTGAATTCGATCAGATAGATAAGATTTAAACCAGTCTAGTGCTGTTCCTTTAATTCCAACAAAATATTCAAGTCTTTCTAAAAGAATATTATGGTCAACTGTATCAAATGCAGCACTAAGATCCAACAGGACGAGCACAGATACAAGTCCATTATCTGAGGCCATGAGAATATCATTAGTGACTTTCACCAGAGCTGTTTCAGTGCTATGATGAGCTCTAAAGCCAGACTGAAACTCTTCAAAAAGTTCATTATGGTGGAAGTGATCGCAAACTTGTTTGGCAACTACTTTCTCAAGAATTTTGGATAAGAAAGGAAGATTGGATATAGGTCTATAATTGACCAAGTCATCTGGGTCAAGAGACGGTTTCTTAAGCAGAGGTTTAATTACAGCAGCCTTAAAAGCTTTAGGTACATATCCCTGTAACAGAGATAGATTAATCACATCTAAAATGGAGGAGGAGATCAAAGGGAATACCTCCTTAAATAACCTGGTTGGAACTGGATCTAACATACAAGTTGAAGGCTTAGATGAAGACAATAATTTTGCTAATTCAGAGAGTTCAACTGGATCAAAGCAGTCTAAACCCGGTTCAGATTCCATGACTACCTCAGGTACAATCGCGGATAGAGGAGTGCTTATGATTTTATTTTTAATAAGATCAATCTTATTTATAAAGAATCCCATAAAATCATTGCTGCTAAGAGCAGGTGGAATGGACGGTTCAACAGAGCTATGGCTCTGGGTGAGTTTGGCAACTGTATTAAAAAGAAATCTAGGATTATTCTTATTCTCCTCTATTAATGAGGAGAAGTATGCTGCTCTTGCTTTACAAAGGCTCCTCTTATACAGCATTAAACCATTTTTCCAGACTAGGAAGGACTCCCGCAGGCCTGTGGAGCGATATTTTCTCTCCAGTTTCCTAGCATTTTGCTTCAAAGTACGCAGCTCTGCATTAGACCAAGGAGCAAGCTTTCTATTTTTAACGGTTTTCATTTTCAAAGGAGCTGCGTTGTCTAAGGCAATATGCAGAGAACTAGCAACCCCATCAACAAAATCATCAACCTGTGAAGGGGAATAAGCTATGCTTTTGCACTCTGCAGCACTGCTCAGCGACACAGAGGAGAGAGAAAGTGAAGCAGATTCTTTAAAATTTATATCTGCACTATCTGATAAAGATCTACTAAAATTGAACCTTCTTTTGGGGGAGGAGAACTCTGTTAAAGTAATCCTAAAGGTTATTAGAAAGTGGTCAGAGAGGACAGGGTTGTGAGGAAATACTGTTATTTCTTCACATTCTATGCCGTATGTCAGCACAAGATCCAAAGTATGAAAATGAGAATGCGTGGGACCACTCACACTCTGAACAAAGCCAATAGTGTCTAAGATAGCATTAAAGGCTGCTCTTAAGCTATCACCTTCAATGTCAGCATGGATGTTAAAATCTCCCACTATGATGACCCTGTCAGTATTTAATACCCAATCAGAAAGGAACTCTGAAAACTCATCTAAAAATTCAGAGTAAGGACCTGGAGGACGATACAAAGTTACAAAAAGAAGAGGTTTTCTTGCCTTGAAATTTGGATCAGGGAAATTAAGGGTTAAATGTTCAAAAGAGTTGTAGGTATTAATTGTTTTGGGAGTAATCAGTAAGTCAGACTGGAAGATTGTTGCTACTCCTCCTCCTCGCCCAGAACTTCTGGGTATGTGAAAATTTAAATAGCTTGAAGGAGTTGCCTCATTTATGCTCACATAATCCTCTTGCTGCAGCCAGGTTTCTGTAAGGCAAAACAAGTCAATGTGATTATCACAAATCAAGTCATTAACTAGTAAACTTTTAGAGGAAAGCGATCTTATGTTAAACAGACCGCATTTAATTGTTTTAACTTTTTCCCCAATTGGAGTTATTTTGATTTTAATTAGATTATCATGATTTACTCCTTTGGGAATCTTTGCTAATTTATTAGATTTTGGTCGTGGACAAGACACTGTCTGGATGGAGTAAAGAGTGGGTAACAGTAGAGAAGCTGCAGAGATGTGTGTTAAACTACAACTCTGCTTCCTGGTCTGCACCCTGGGTGGTCAGGGTTTTGGAGGACTAATAAATGTGGCCAGATTCCTAGAAAGAAGAGCTGCACCATCCAAAGTGGGATGGATGCCGTCTCTCCGAATCAGACCAGGCTTTCCCCAAAAGGATTGCCAATTATTAATGTAGCCCAGGTTGTTTTCAGGACACCACCTAGACAACCAGCGGTTGAATCACGACATGCGGCTAAACATGTCATCACTGGTCAGATCAGGGAGGGGACCAGAGAAAATTACGACATTTTTTTGGCAAACTTACACACCAAAGCAACACTAATTTTAGTGACCTCCGATCGGCGTAACCGGGTGTCATTACCACCAGCGTGAATAACAATCTTACTGTATTTAACCTTATCCTTAGCCAGTAGTTTCAGGTAGGATTTGATGTCGCCCGTTCTGGCCCCCGGCAAACATTTGACTATGGTCCCTGGTGTCTCTAACGCCACGTTTCTGACTATGGAGCTGCCAATCACCAGAGTGGGCTTCTCAGTGGGTGTGT